TTTTCCCTTTGTTTTTATTCATTGATTCTTTTAGCTTTATTAACTATATTATTTTCATTTTTAGGATTTCTATCTCATTCTTTCTTGCATCTAATTCTGTTTTATTTTTTATTGTTTTTGTTTCAGCGATTCTTGTTCTTTTATGGGTGTTGAGTTTTCCTTTATCTCTCTGGTGATCTCAGACATTTTTATGGCAAAGTTATTTTCAGACTGCTTTGCTTTCTTTCATTCAGATGGAGCACATTTATCTCTTGATTACTGGGTGTCTTAGAATTTATTACCTTATGTGTTCTGAATTTTTGGATTGTATTCTCATCTAGAGTGGGTGTTTGTTTCTCAGCTTTGTTGTCCTTGCTTGTTTCTCTCCTCTTTGCTCCTTCCTCCTTCACAGCAGTGACTTTCATCTAAACTCACAGCATCTCTAGTCCAGTGTCATTCTGTTTGATCAGGACTGCACAAGCTCCTGTGGGGACTCTGTGGCTTTCAGAGATGCAAACAGAAAACTGGATTGAAGGGTGTGCTGATGTTACTTTGCCCTATTGTGCTTGATTCTGTAGTCCCAGTGGCAGTTGGCAATGGTATTTTCCAAGAAGGGAGAATCCTATACCCTTTACTGATTTCACTGAGAAACCTAGCTATGATGCCCTTCATTTCACCATGTTTTGGTCTCTGCCTGCATCTGGGCCAGAACCTGGAAGCCCTATGACTTCAGTCCCACTTACTACTTTCTGTTTGTTCAATGCACTGTGTACATAAAAGGGGTGTGTGTGTGGGGGGGATGTGATGTTTGTTTGGTAGAGAGGGATTCTCAATACATATAATTAAGGTCAGAAAAAAATGCTGTAAAAACATGCATTTCACTTTTACAGTGCAAATGACACCTTTTCAAAAAGCATGGAAATAAACCAGAGTGACTGTCATTGTCTCCAAAATAAAGAAGGTCAATGTTTGGGTCTCTGTCTGAAGCAGTAGCATATTAAAGATAAGGATGATTTTTTTTCCCATTTTCCATTTGTCCATAGACTGAAAGAAAAACACGATCAGCTGATTCCTTCTGATGAGATAGAGTAAGCTGTCAAGTGCGTACCATCTGGTTCAGCTCCTAATCCAGATGGGCTGCCAATGGTAATTTATGAAAGCTTTGAAAGCAACTTTCTATTCTCCAGAAAGAATCATTAGAACACATTAACAATGTGTTCCCTCCCCAGCCACAATTTACAACAAATGCAAAGATATGGCAACTGCTTCTATACAACAAATACTACAGTCTATTTCTGAGCAAGAAGTCAGTATGTTTCTGCTCTTTGGGGGGAAATATCAATCATTTTCATTCCCTTTCCATCCCCTCTCCTGGCTCAATGAATAAGGGAGAAAATGCTCCCATGATAGAGTTTCAAACAAATATCTGAAGAAATCTTTACAGTCTGTCATTTCTGAGTATATGTGATACTTGAAGAAGTCAAAATCAATACCAGGAATAATCTGATGTATCTCATGCTCTCACGACAGACAGGAGCTTCTATTCTAATCAAAAAATTTTGGTGGTCAATTGTAGAGCCACAGGTGGTTAAATCTAGGAGACATCCCTCTGTTAGCACTTCTCCCACCCAGCCAGGCAATACCTGGACAATATGGCTCCCAAGTTAGAACCAAATGACAGAACATTTTGTTCAACCAACTTTACTTACCTGCCCTCTGTTCTTGTCCCATCATTTATATAATAGCACTGTGAACTAATAAAACTTATTCCTGGGTGACAAATGCAATCCTATTAATTTATTTTTAGTTCATGTAAGAGTTGCTGGCAGAGAATGAGGTCATATTTTTCCTTTGACCAAACCATCTGTTTTTCAGGCTCTGAGGAAATTGCCAATACATGTTTAAAATGCCAATACATGTTTAAAATGTTTTGGAATGTTCAAAAGAAAAGTCCAGAAGGAGTGCATAGTTTCTAACTAAAAATGAGAAGATCAGGATGGTTGTAATATGAAGTTTAGATTTTCACTAAGAAGGAATGGAGAGAGAAGGTAGAGGCAGTAGGATTAGGAGTGTGACAGATAAATTAGAGCTGGGAATGTGAAAAGGCAGAGATTGATGCCAGCCAGACAGAGATGATCTATTTAAGACACAGAGAGAGGAAAATGGGAACCCACTGGGTTATGTTAGACAGTTGAGAACGTCTTATACCAAGGGAATGGTCTGAGTCTCAAGAAAGAATGGAGTGCACAATGGGCAAGCAATAAGGCTCAGCAGAACAAGGCACTTCAGTCTGTCCCTCTCAGACATGATAGAGCAGGGGCATTTCAGTGAAACTAACTATAAGTAGTAAAGAATATCAAAGAAGCAACTGGGCAGTCCTTGGGTAGCCTGCAACTTCTGTAAGTGAACAAAGGACAGAGACAACAGTGCTCAAAAGCTATTGGAAATTGTTACCAGTGACATTTTTTATACAGTAATTATTTGTTTTTTTCATTTCTTCAATCTGTGTTTTATTTTAAATATTAATTAAATTTAATTTTATTTGAAAGTATGCATTGATCTCATAAGTCATTGAAAAATTGAAAATGAGAAAGAGATATACTATTTGGTTGGTTGTGATTTATCTGAATTAAAATTGTAAGTTGCTAAAGGAAAATATTTTCACAAAAAGAAATGCTGGATTTCGTTTTATTTTTCCATTTCCTTTGTTGGAGGGACCATGGAGACATGAATTTGAACAAGGTACTGTGTCCCTCTAGTGGCCATTTCACAAACTACAGGTAAACATTACATTACTAAGTGAAGTCAGCCAATTTCAAGAGAACTTGCCAATCATGATAATCCTATTTCCAGAACACTCAACTCAAAGGAAATAGAAAGAGTAGCTGGATCATGTGTCACAGACACATAAAAGGTACTATGAGATGGCAAAAATTATAGACTCTGAGATCAGATGGGCAGTTCAAATCCCAGTTCTGTCGTTTAATAATTGTGACTTCCAGGGACAAGTTTTTGGGTCTCTCTCTTCCTCACTTTGCTCATCAGCAAAATGGAGGTAACAAATGTAGGGTTATTGTGAGAACTAGAAAAGGGACTACTTAAAGCATTCAAAGGGGGGCCTCCCCAGTGGCACACAGCATGATGAAGCTGTCTGCAGCCTCTACAGTGCGTGTTCGATACCTGGCTGGCCAGGGAGAAACCCATATGGCGTGGCAGACCTCTCCTGTCTTGCCTGCTGCTCCCCTCAGCAGTGTCTTCTGTCCGTCTGCCTGCTCTGCTCCCTGTTCTCTCTGGTGAATTCTCTCGCCCTCCCGCACCTCTGACCTGTACCCAGTTCTTGTATAAATAAATCTTTAAAAAAAAAACATTCAAAAGGGTGCTTTGTCACAGTAAGTGTTCAATACTTATTTTTAGAAAATACTTTTATGTTTATAAACTTTTTTCTTTTTACCTACTTTCCACAATGATTGTTCAGTTTTTCTTTTTTATTTCTTTCTCATTCTAGATTTGCACATTCTACGGAAAACTTGGGGCCTATAACACTCAACAAGTGGGTTATTAAGTGCCTTTTTAGCATGTAATGTCTCAAAATCTAAAACCTCATCAAACAAAATACAGTTAATATCACTAGTACACTGCTTTTACAGAATCTGTGGCTTTAAGTACCATAGGAACTATTTCTAAAACTCCCTCGACTTCTTGATTGCACTCTTTACTGTCATTGGGTTATTAAAATACAAAACTAATTGTTTTAAGTTTAAAGCCTATGGAACGTTATCTGTCAGAATTAAGATTTCTCACGGTGGTTTCATTTTTTTCCTCCCAATTAAACTTCTCTGGGACTCCATGGCACCTATAGGGCACCCGTGAATCCCACGCACATTCAACAAGATTCTCAAGCTGCCTAATGAACTTTCACCTCTTCTGCAGCTTTTCTGTTACCATTCCTGTGAAGTTACTTTACCCCTCAGTCATTTGGGATCTTATCCTCATTTCATTACTAATTAAATTCATTCCTACAGTCATAAATTAATTATTTGAAGCAAAATTACTGATATCTTTAGTTCATTCCCAGATCTTTTTTAACCCTGGGTACTTAAATTTAAGAGTTTTTTTGTGTGTTAATTTTTATTAGTATTTGAAGGAAATGACTGACAGGAAATTAAAGACTTCAACTTCTTACACAGGAGAGGTTAAAAATTAGAAAGCACTTTTTCCATCAGCAATGCACTTCCACTATGTTGCATTGCTGGTAGGACTTAGTTGAAAATGGTTAGAACACTTGTTAATCTATCTTTAGACTAGAGCAAATGTGGTTCAACTCTAAGCTTAGTTGTGGTTTTAAAGGCATTTTCATTTTATGAACTCGCATGTCACTTTTTCTCCTGAGGCCATCAGCACAGGTGAAAAATGACAATGTGAGACTTGGTTTCTTTTTGATGGACAAGCACATTAGATTTTTGATTGTTGGTGATAACTTGATTTTCATCTCATGAATACAGCCTTGAGCATTTATAATTATCAAGAACAGGGACCTTAATGTTACATAAATATTTTACTCTATGGACTTAGTAAATGTTTTGTTAATTGGCTGATCTGAATTTCTGTTCAAAGAGCATCTTTAGATAAACGAAGGTTTTAAATAACATCTGTAGGAAAACTCTTGGCAAATATACTGTGCTCTTTTATCATAAGGTTCTCAAAATATCTTAAAGAAATATTAAAAAGCAAACCTTTAGAAAAGAAGAATAAACCTAGTTGCAAAAACCCATAACTCATCTCCCCCCCCCCCCCAGGACTGACTGACTTAAACAAAGAAATATAATTTGGTTTTCCTCTCTGCTGTATCAGGACTATTGCTACTTAACTTCTATTATCCTAAAGCCTGAAGCTGATAGCTTTTATCAGCTCATACCTATCATGAAAGAGAAGATCCATTTTCAAAAGTTCTGTGCTCTTGAGGATTCTCTGTTGGGGTAGAGTATACTAATGTGTACTAATAGCTGGCTTGTTCTGTTCAGCTTTCGCTTGACTGGTGTTCATGAGATGATGGGCTGCGTTCAGAGACGAGTGGATCATCTGACCGAACAGTGTTCAGCACGCAAGGAATTTGCTCTTAAGAAACAGCAATTAACAGCCTCTGTGGAGGACTGCCTGAGGAAGGTAGTTTCATGCAGCGTGTCCCTCCTTAACCTACTATTTAGACACAACCTCTATTTGGTGATGATCAATGCTCTGGAAACTGCAGCATGTGGTCCTGGTGGGAGGACAGGAGTGTGTCTCCTTTGGCCTCTCTTAGGTTTCATATTAGGCTATATAATTTAGAATGTAGGTGAAACTCACTGTTGCTCATCAACCATCCCTGCCCCAGGTTGCCAAAGTTAGATATATAGTCCTACCTGATTTCCTAGTCCTGGGGATGCACAAACACAGCCCACGCTTTGCACAGAACTGTGTTAACTGAGGCACATGCATATTGTGATTATGTTCTTGATGTACAGTGTTCCATCTATGGCATCAACATGCACACATTTCAGTCAATATGCTGCCATACTGAATAAGGACTGTAGGTGGATAAATATCCAAAATAAGGAGTTTTAGGGGTTTCAAATAAAAGCACACATCCAAAAATCCTCTTTGCAGAGTGAATACAATGACTTGATATGGGAGAATACTATTTCCTTTTTTCAAAGAAGAATAAAATCATAGCTACTATTTGCCTAAATAAAAATTTGCTTCTCTATAGAGGAGGTAGATATTAAAAACTAGCAATTTCTCAGTGGCATCAATGCTAATGAACCTTGTTGCACAGACTGGATCTTAGATTTTCAGTGATTTCTTATTTGATACAGTAGACATACAGGCCTGACTTTCGCAAGTAGAATTAGTAGACTTCACAAGACAAGACATTAAATAACTTTGTATCTATGTAAACTGTCACCTGTTTTTAATCTAGAAACTTGGGAATGTGAACCTTATTCTGATGTCTGGGTCCAGGGAGATTCCAAATATGGTAGCAGCTGTGGTGCTGCATTCCCCAGAACGTGAGACACAAACTGATTTGGTGGTGATAGAAAACACAGTAGGAACTCAAACAACTGTTGCTACTTGACTCACTGCCCATTCAGAACCAATTTACTGTGGGAACATTGGACTCTAGTTAGAGCAAGAAGGTGAAGAATTAACTCAATTCATTGGTTCATGTGTACTGAAGATCAATGCATAGTTCTCCAAATTCTTCAATGCATTTCTGTATTTTATTATCACATTTACAGGGTTTGGAGCTTCCCCAAGACCCCTCAGCACCCAGTAAAGCAACCAGAGTGATCTAATACCCAAGCACTACTTCTATGTTTGTCTCTGTAATTTGGGCCCTGTTTAATTTACAGTGGGTGGTTGTGATTTAATTCAACAGATAAATCCATCTCTATTGATCTGTTAGCAAGTTTCTAGGTAACAGAAAAAAGATGTTTAGCGGATATGGATGTTCACTTATGTCTCATTATTGTTAATGAAAGAAATCTCTTTAAACATATACCTTCTACTGGTGGGTCCGTAGTAATATTTGTTATGAAGGGTAGGGGTAGCATTATTCATTTAAACATGAAATTCTGAAGTTTTAAAACTACTTTTCAATTTAAATTGATATATATTTGAAGTATAAGGGGAATATAGAGAGTAATACTTAGCTTCTTTACTCATGTATATAAAGTACAAATACACATTACTAAGATTGCATTATGCCTTATTTCTAAAGGTGGAAATGCTAATTCAGAATATCAGTCCAGTACTTTCTAATGCAATGGCTGTTGGTTCCAGCTTTTCTGAATCAGAGATGATTTTGAGAAAATATCTCAAACTAGATATCCACGCTCAGGTAAATGAAATTATTATTATTATGATTGTAATTTTGTAAATATGATTTCTTTATATTCAGTAACTATGAAACTGAATCCTAGCTCCACCTAGGGCTGCAATTCTTAATTAGTATTGTAGCAAATAATGACTTAAAATTCCTACTATTATGTACATCTAAGTTATTTATATGTGCATATTTTGGGTGTATGAGCTCACTGAAACTCGGTTTTATGGCCTGATATTAAACACTCATTTGGACCCCTTTTCCTTTGTGGGGTGCCAGAGGAGGCAGGAAGAATGCTTCTCTAAGACTATTTGTGATTTTCTGTTAGAGTAAATTACAAAAGAAAATTGCCAGAAGCAATATACATTAATGTGAGATTCCAGAAGAAAAAACAAAAACAAAAACCTATTGTTTGCACATTCCAAATTCAGAGGCAGAAAATGCCCCTCTTCTCCCTGGCACCTGCTCTAACACCCTGTTACCCATTTCACATGGGGCTTAGTTTTTTGGTTTTTGTTTTTGTTTTTTTTAAAGATTTATTTATTTATACAAGCACTGGGTCCAGTCAGAACTGTGGGGTGGTGAAAGAATTCACCAGAGCCAGAGTGGGGAACAGAACAGGCAGACCAACAGAATACACTGCTGAGGAGAGCTGTGCGCGCGACAGGAGAGGTCTGTCACACCATGTGGGACCCTCGCCGTTGGCCGGGGATCGAACTGGCGCTGCAGAGGCTGTGGGCAGCTTCACAGCCCAGCGCTCAACCGTTGAGCCGCCAGGGGAGGCCCATTTTTAAACATTCCCATTAACATCTCCAAACCTTCACTGAAGTGCATGCCCAACCCAGTAGATGAATCAAGTACCTTCTCTTGCCCAAATCAGTGGCCTTATTATGCCATTAATTCCCTATCAATTCAAGCAGAGAGCCTTCTTCACAGAGTATCCCCACCTTAAACTGACAGATGAACCAATTTTAAATGGGATGTTTTTATTCAATATTTTAAATGTTGAAAATAAAACATGTATGAACTCAATTTCTTTTTAACATTTGAAGTGGGATTTATTTTATAAATTTATTTGAAAACTTAAAAAATGGGAGCAACTCCACTGCTCCCTTCTTCCCAGAGTGCTATCTAGAAACAGCACTTGTAAATTAAAATTGCCTTCATTCAATGAAGTACCTGGGAAGCATATTAAATACAAGCAGGGAAATCTCCCCTTGCTGCAAATGAAAGTGAAGCTTTTGTCTTTTGTTTTTGCTTGATTTCCTACCTCGGTCCTATATTAAATTTTGCATAGCTCTTTCTATGGCAATTGTAAATTAATGCCTATAATACCCAGTCATTCATTTAATCAGTGGTTAGATTTCACGTGCCTGAAATTGCAGTCAAAGAAAGAACATAGGAGCACAACCTTAAGTGAACCCAGTTCACTGACTTGTTAGGGTATTTAGACCTCCTGTGTATCATGTCTCTGATACTTATTAAAAACCCCTCTAGATATAGATGTAAATAAGACTATAATTGATATGTCATTTCTTTGTAAATTAGAAAACGAGTGAACAATTTTTATAAACTCACCATCTCTTATATAACAAAATTCCTTCAAAAATTTGCTAAAATTTAAATTTCATAAAGCAATTCTCATGTATAATTATCACATTTAAATTATTTTAAACAATTTCTGCCATTTTACCACCTCTCATACAAAACAACCTTTCTCCTGTTTGCGACACAGAAAATAGAATTCCCTTTATAAGAAGTGTAGCTGAAAGAGTGAAAATATAGTTAGAGATGATTTTCATTTGAAGATGTCTTTTTTTGAGAGTTGTGCCTTTTATTGAGGAGAACCTTAGTACAAGTTCAATTAATAATCGTAATAGATGGATGTACAGAAGGTAATGAAATGTGAATGTTCATGATTCCCCTGTCTGCTTCTGACCCCCTGTGCTTTGCTTTCATAGGAGGCATCGCATGAATTAGAAGCAGCTGCAAAACTCATGACAGAGATAAATGAATTTGAACCTGATGAAGTGGCATCACTTTCTTCTAAAGCTAGATGGCTAAGGGAAGAATTAAACATACTTGGCCAAAGCATAGACTTCAGGTCACAACTCCTGCAAACGTATATGGCATTTCTAAAGTCATCAGAGGAGGTACAATACTTGTGAGCTGACTTTCTTCAGTAAAGTGGCCTGTATCTGTCCTGCTTTCTATGGGGGGGTAAGCCCTGGTGGGTAGTCAGTGCCATAGTCTCCACCCAAGCACCCACGCTCATTTATCGCCCCCTTTATTCTACAAGGACTCAAAGAGCAAGTTGTTTTATAAAAAATAACACAAGTGTGTATATGTAACATATATACAAAAAAGCAAAGTGGTTGTGTTGGAACATTTACTGTGACCTACAAATATTTCTAATATCCTAAACATAGAACAAAATTGCTTAAACATAAGCCACCTTCTAAGCCATTGATCTCTTTAAATACCTAGGCAATTAGTGTGATTCATTTAAAATACACAGAGCTGGAAATTATGGGCTTTTGGGTGCAGTCTCAGATCTGTCTTATTTGATGATTTTCAGTAGGTTACCTCTGAAAGCATTGATTGAGGAATTATTTTGACAGGGTTCTACTATCAGATAATCTGTAAAATTGCCTCTAGTAGGCTAGAATGTCATCTCACAAAGGTCACAGTTTCTTGATGCTGACATTAGTCTAGAACAGTGCTACTCTGTAAACTCAGGTCCCATGCACCCAGCTGGACATTGGTCACTCTCCTTTCAGGAGGGGCGCTGATCCAGTGGGAGGCAGAGCCAGCAAGGCTCACTGAGGGGTAAACCCAGCCAAAGTTTGGTAGCATGCTTAATTTCCATCCTCTCACCCCTGCCCTTCAACACTCCTGCCCTATCCCGCCACCACCATCTGGCGTACACGTTTCTTCCGTCTGCTCTCAAAATACTCTGAATTCTCACCCCTCTGGCAGAAATCCATGCCCGGTCCCTGGAGGTCTCAAATAACCACTGCCTCCTCTTCCAGATCTTTACTCAGCTTTTTATTTTCTGAATTTTTTAAGTTTTTCTCAGCTTGGGTCTCTCATGGTTTCACAGAGGTATTACAAAAGACAGGATTTTTTTTTTTTTTTCTAAATAGAGGCATGTTTTTTTATTTATTTTTATTTGTTTGTTTGTTTTTGTTTATACATGCACTGGGTACAGTCAGAAACGCGGGAGGGTGAGAGAATTCACCAGAGCCAGAGTAGGGAGCAGAGCAGGCAGAAGGACCGAAGCACACTGCTGAGGGGAGCAGCGGGCGGCAGGAGAGGTCTGCGCGCCATGTGGGACCCTCCTCCTGTGGCCGGGAAGCAGCCAGGGATCGAACCGGTGCCGTGGAGGCTGCAGGCAGCTTCGCAACCCAGCGCTCAACCGCTGCGCCACCGGGGAGGCCCACAAAAGACAGGATTAACCTGTTGATGAATATTTGAATTCAGAACTTGAAGCAGTGGAGAACATACAAAGAAGTGTTTGCTTTCAGCCTCTCCTTTGCCAAAAATTGTACCTTGGCTTCTATTTAAGCATCTACTTCCATGACCTATGCTGGGACCAGGAACCTCTCTTAGGACTGGAAACTTAGCTTTGCAAACAACTTTCTCAGAAGAACCCTATGTCCTTGCATCTTCCCTGCTCTCACTGAATCTATTTTCCTACCTGGCAGAGCTTTCTGACCTAACCTTGGCAGACCTGTCTGGCTGCCACTCCCTTCCTCCCTCAGGCTTTCCTTCCTTCCTCACCAACATGTGCTCTCATTTCCATTCCGTTCACTGTGCTCTCAATTCCCTACCTTCCATCCTGAGGAACGCTGCCAATTCCCAATAGCAGATAAATCCAACACTCTGTTTACTCAGCTTTTCTTTCCAAGCTTCCAGACGCTCCTGTGGAAAATCATAACAATTGTGCTGATTGGCGCTGTTACAAATATATGGGTCTCTGCCTCAGCTGGGTCCCCCATATGCTCCCTAGTTGGCACCCATTCAGTAGTGATTCTCAAACATCTTACCCTAGTTTCCATCCCTAACTCTCAGCTGATGCCCTTACTGGGAAAAAATGAGGCCTTTGAACTAACTGCCTTGACTTTCTTCAACTTCCAATCCCATTGACATATTCACCCATCCTCCACTGTAGCCATAAAGTGAAGTCTCCACCCACCCACAGTAATTGGTCATCAGTACCTTTCTATAGTATGTCCTTCCATCCTTCAGAAGAGTCATCCTCTGATTTTCCAAATTGCTCATTTCATTGCCTCCTTCCCTTGGTCTATACTTATGCCCAAAGAGTCTTGCCTTCAACAAGGTTACCACTCTGATTTTCCTTCCCTTCACATCTGGACTCTTGGGATAAGAAAAATAACATTTCTTGTTTCTACTCTCATTCTCCTCAATCTTCATCCCACGGCAGTTTAGTTAATTCCTTTTAATCCTGCCATTTACAACTAATTCATTCCATTGAAAATGTTCTAACAAGCTACTTACTTATTATCAGGCAGTTGACAAATGAAATACTGTATTCTCAGTCTTCATCCTACTTAATCTCTCTACCACAATGATTTAATCTAGTTCTCATTTTCACTTTGGCTTTTTTTTTTAAAGCAGATTTATTAAGCTATAATTACATAGTATAAAATTTACCCATTTTAGTGTGCAAAGATGGTTAGTATATTTATAGAGTTGTATAACCATCAATGCCCTTCAGTTTTAGTATATTTCCATCACGTCACCCCACAGAGAACCCTGGTGCACATTCTAGTCAATCCTGGTTCCCACTCCTAGTTTGCACTCATCTGCACTTCTATGTTTAGTTTCTATTGTCCCCATTTTATAAATGGGGCAACTGTGGCTTGTAGAAGTTAGATGTAGAAAATCAAGCAGCTAGTAAACATCAAAGCTGAAGTTTAATTTGCTATCTCCTTCTTTTTGATTTTTCTGTTTCACAGGCCATGTTATCCCATGTCTGCCAATAGCAACTATTGAAAAGATTTCTGAATTCTCCTTTCTCTCCCTTTGCACCATTACATCCTTTGTACAGGTCCTCTCTCATCTGGCTCAGAGAATTTGTTTTCTGCCCATTCTTTTTGTCTAACATATTTCTCCCCTTTATCCCTCCTTTCAAAAAATGTTTATTCTAAAACAAATCTGGTTATATTACCTCTTGAAATTCATATAATTTGACAAATATAATTTGTGAAGCAAGTTACAAAAAAACTTTTGTCCAAAATAGATATAGTATGAAAGACTATCATTAATTTGCTTTAAAAATAATCTAGTGCAGGGCCTCCCCAGTGGTGCAGCGGTTGAGTGCTGGGTTGCGAAGCTGCCCGCAGCCTCTGCAGCACTGGTTCGATCCCTGGCCTCAGGGTGAGGGTCCCACATGGTGCGCAGACCTCTCCTGCCGCCTGTTGCTCCCCTCAGCAGTGTACTTCATCAGTCTGCCTGTTCTGCTCCCCGCTCTGGCTCTGGTGAATTCTCTCACCCTCCCGCACTTCTGACTGTACGTGGTGCTTGTATAAATAAATAAATAAATCTTAAAAAAAAAGAAAGCTCTTTAAAATAAATAAATAAATAATCTAGTGCAGATTCAAGGGGATCCCTATAATGACATCATTCTCACTTGCATTCAAGAAGACTCTTTTAAGAGCAAGAAAAGGAGGATAAATTAAAGTTTATGGGTGAGAATCACACATAACTGACAGCGCATCAATTAACACCCCAGTCTGGAGTGCCCAATCCTACTGAAGTACTGTTGGTTGTCATGACTGAGTCATTGTGACAAGATTCCATTGTTTCAAACTCATAAGAATGAGTCATAGCATGTAGTTACAGTAGAAGGCAAGTTAAACCCTGCTGACCAGCACCCTCTATCCTCTTTCTTAGCACCCAGCACCCTCTATCCTCTTTCTTAGCACTCAGCTAGTGCAATCTGGACTTCACCTACACTGAGAATATTCATATTCTGAATCAGCCAGTGCCTTCACATATGTTATTCCTTCCATCTAGGATTCCCTTCTCCGACTCCCTCTCAACCTGAATAGTTCTGAAAAACACAAATCCAATGCCACTTCCTTCCCTGTTTATACTAAATAGTTTGTGGTCTTTCATATGCCTATGACATTGGCTATATGCTTGTCTTTGTGTTAGAATAATTTGCTTATAGTTTATTTTTCCCCAGAACTGTGTGTGGGAAACTCAAGGAAATACATGCTTAATTCTTATGAGGGAATCTTACAGGGCTACATGAAGGAGGTAGCATGTTAACTAAATCATGAGATAAGTAGGAACAGAAAATTGAAGAAAGTACATTCTGGAAGCTAGCATCAGCAAAACAGGCATGGCCAATTAGAATATGGGAAATGAAGAGAGAACTTCAGTTTTCACACCATCTTCAGGCTCTCTTATTATGTTAATTTAAAGTAAGATGATGTGAAAATCTTTACAATAGAGTGACTTACCATAGCCTGAAATTCCTCACTTTATTTAGTTTGCTTTTGGTAGTTACCAGTTGAGTCTTGTGCCATTGTCCATTAACTATTATTCAAAATGTGTAAAAACTTGTGTCAAATTTTCTACTACTTCTGTATCAATTATGTGTCAATCTATATTTCTATAGGCACATTTGATTTTATATAAGCTCTGTTCAAAGAGTGACTTTAAATAATCTAGTGCTGTTTATACTAGTTAGTAAGTGGGAAAATATAATTCTAAGGAGGCAATGCACCTCGATAAGATTAACTCATTGGGGCAGTTTAATATTAATACATGTATAGAAAATTAGTTATTATTTGTATTCTTTTTCTGTTTTATCACTGATTAGACGCATACTGTGGTTTATACCCATTACTCATTTCTAATATAATTACTCATGTATTTTTGCTGACTTATATTTCTTTCTGATTTGAATTCTTTTATAATATAATTAAGTATAATACATGTGTATATAATGTCTTCTAAATTCTAAAACTTAGCTTTAAATGGGACCATACTGGTATTTGACATAAATTGTGCCCAATTGCAATATATACTCGTATATGTTATAAATATGAGTTTGGCTACAGTAAGTAGTTTTTATTGGTAATAAACTTGTCAGTTCAATTTACTACCCAGTGGTAGTCCTGTTGTTTACAACCTCAACAGATTTTTCATGTCTCTTCAGCAAACTGACAATAGTCAATAATTACTGAAAGAATTCAGACACATAATTTTAATTTTTATATAAGCTTTTATTGGAATCTATTCTTATTTTAATTTAAAGTTTTTTTTATGTATTCTTAACTTTCCTTCTTATTCTCCTTTTTAGGTAGAGGAGCAGTGTCAGAGGCTAAAGGAGTTTTATCAAACTGAAACCCCAAGGAAGGGAGATAATGATGTTGAAGCCAAGCATCGGTCTGACTTGGTGGAGGAACAGTCACACCTGTTTTTAAAGAGGAGTTTTTTCACTCAAGACGTTGGGCTTAATTTCCTTAATTTAATAAACATGGTGAGAATGACATTAAATGAGTCACAGCTTGTGCAAGGATTACTTATTAAAGTCAAAATCATAAATTCAAAAGTTCAACTCTCTATTAGTCAGAAATGCTGGTTTAGGAAGTTCCTTTTAGCGTCATTCAATCTAGAACAGTCCTGAAGTCTAGCTTTTACATACCTGCTTGGTCCTAGAGCTCTTGCTAGTTTATTGCATGAAGGCTATTTTAATTATTAAAATGAGTGGCTCTAATCCAAATGCAACATTGGTTTTGTTTCATAGAGTCCTCAGTATATATTCACCTAAAAGTTGTGTGTTGTGTTGAGAGCAGGCAACACCAGTCCAAACAAAATTCCCAGTGTCCAAAGACAATGTCTAGGCTGAATCTTCATTTTGAAAAATGTCTTACTAGAGCAGATCTTTTAGTGAAACTCCATTATGTTTAGAAATGTACCCTAAACTTCAATTGCTGAGTTACATGTGTAAAATACTCTAAAATCCTTATATCAATTTCTGATCCACATAACATTGTCTACAGAATTCCTAAAAGATGGGTAGTCTACCTCTCCTTTAATACCTCAAATATCTTCCAAATAAGGTTGCTGATTTTATTGTTAGAAAATGCCAGTTGCTAGAAAACTCTTTGTTATAATGTTAAGACAAATCTGACTTCATATCTGATTCTAATCATTGATAGCTACACAGAGGAAAAATGAATTCATATTTTATTCCTCTTACATATCAAAGTCCTTCCAACATTAAAAATAGTTGCAATTCCTAATCTGAGTCTTTGCTCTAGCTAAATACATACAAATCCTTTCTGTTATTTATGAGATATCTATATTTCTCTCTACTTTTGATTCTTCCTCCCAGAATTTTCTATGGTTTGTCAAAATCATTCATAAAATAAAACTGAACATTGAAGTATAACTTTTGCACAGAGTAGAGCAAAGTGGATAATGGTCTTTACCAGTGTGATAGGAGATTATGCTAGTGCTTTAATTTTTTTTAAGATTTATTAATTCAGGGCCTCCCCCGTGGCGCAGCGGTTGAGCGCTGGCCCGCAGCCTCTGCGGCGCCAGTTCGATCCCCGGCTGCTCCACGGCCACTGGAGGAGGGTCCAGCATGGCGCGCAGACCTCTCCTGTGGCCCGCTGCTCCCCTCAGCAGTGTACTTCAGTCCTTCTGCCCGCTCTGCTCCCCGCTCTGGCTCTGGTGAATTCTCTCACCCTCCCACACTTCTGACTGTGCCCAGTGCTTGTATGAATAAATGAATAAATCTTTTTTAAAAAATTTATTAATTCATGCATTTAAGAACTGGGGAACAGACCAGAGATGTGGGGGGTGAGAGGATTCACCAGAAACAGAGTGCGGAACAGCACAGGCAGATTGAATGAAATAAACTGCTGAGGGGAGCAGTGGGTGAGGCAGGAGAGGTCTGTTGCGCCATGTGGGCTGCCCCACTGCTGGGGATTAGGATTAAACTCGTGCTGCAGTGGCCACAGACAGCCTCATAGGCTGCACCCCAACCCTCTGTGCCACCAGGGAGGCCCTATACTAGTGCTTTTAGTAGTAATTTTACTTTACTGCTTCATATTAAGTTTGTGATGAAATAAAATTCCCATTACCTTTTTATTGCCATTCCTGCCAGGCCAGGTCTCTCCCATCTCATATCTATACTAAGCTTTTTATGTTTTACATACAAATGTGGACCTTTATTTTTCTATTTAATTTTATTTTGATTGTCTTATTAACTTAATAAGATGAAATCATCTTATTAATCATCATGATTTCATCTTATTAAATTAATTTTGAGTCTGCTGTCTACATAAGCCATCTCTCCTGGGTTTAATTCTACATATTTGATAAGTAAGTTTTCTATGGCTATGAGAGCTTCAATAAAAATGTTTAAAGGGCAGGTTGACATCCCAATTCATCTAAGCAATCAGTGAATTAACAAGTTTTTTAAACAATCATGTACACTCTTTCACAAACTTTTTCTTAAGTCTATAATGAGATTGCTCAAAATAAAGTCTAGTTACCTACATAAATATCAACTTCATAAATATCAACTACATAATATAATTTGGCATAAATCCATTTGACTCCTAGCAATTAAGTCATCCTTTCTAAAATGCTCATAAACTGCTTGATCAGCAATGAACTTTTTGTACTGGTTTTCAATGTAAAGTTGTCTGTAAATTATTAAACCTATCCTCTGCTCTTTTGAAAAATCAGGACATTTTCTTTTAACTTTCTGGTCTTTCTCTTACTTTCTTTAAGATTTGCAAAGATAACTGACGTCTGCATTTTATTCAGTACTCTGAAATGTGATTAATCTCAGTCTGGAGTCTGAATTCATTGGAAAGGTTAGGTCCTGTTTAACTATCATCACCTACTCTGAGCTACAATTTTGTCTTTATCTTTGCTTCAATTTTTGTTGTTTGAAGATTATACCTGTTAAGTTTATGTGAAATGAAGAAACAAAATAGGTACTAAACAGCTATAATTTATCTAATACTATTCTTAAGTATCAGAAAAAACTTGCTAAGCAATTTGCCTATGTCCTTTTGTTATCCAGGTGCTTTATTGTAAAAAGTATTTGTATATTTTCTGTGTATCTAAACTCTCTCCCTTCCCCCTCCCCCTTTTCTCTCTCTCATTTTTTTTTTACTTTATTCAGTGTATCTTCATCTATCTCTTAATTGTGTTCTCTAATTTATTCTTAATAACTAATTCAAATATTTGCAAACTTCATTTTTTTCTATCCTTTTTATTACTGATTTTCACTTGGAAATTTTATTTTTCACTTCTGAAATTTCCCATTGGTTCTTTTTTTTTTGAATAAAATTCGTTCTTGTCCTACAAAAAAATGTAGGAATTCCAGATGGTGTTATTTCATTTCCTAGGTAAATGTTGGTGGGAGATCACTTAAGTCAATCAGGAGCTGGTAGAGTTGAGTTTGCGTGTCATCCTTTCAAGACCCAATCTCCTCTGTTCACCTCAGACTCTCAGACTTTTCAATTTAGAGAAGAGTGCATTCTCTGAGGCCTCTCTTCCTCACAGTTCCCAGATTCCAATCTTTCTCTTGGAAGACTGCTGAAATCCTCTACTCTGCTTTTCAGAGGCTTTGTTGTTTTGATATGGTTTTTTCCATTCTTTTCATTTTTTTATTTTATATATTTTTTACATTATTTTTCATTTTTGCACAATGTATGCATTGGTTATAGTCCCCATACAATTCCCACCCTCCTTGTTTTGATCCTACTCCCCCCTCACCCCTGCAGTGTGTCTCTGGTTTAGAGTTGCTTGTTGATTTTGATTTTTACTTTATTATAATTAGTCTTTTTCCTGGTCCCTTATTTAGGTTTTCTAAATTCCTGCTATGAGTGAGACTATCTGGTATTTTTATTTCTGGCTTATTTCGCTGAGCATAATCCCTTCCAGCTCCATCCATGTTGCTGCTGGATCAAGATGTGGTACATGCACACAATGAAATATTACTTGGCTTTGTTGTTTTTGATAGTACTGCTTTTAACTGAGGAAGTCTTGATTAACAAGACTGAATCTGATTTAGAGGTACAGGTTCTCACCTCTTTAGTGGTATGTGGCCACCCCATACTCACACTAAAGCACCTGTAATCTTGCACCACAATCCACTGGATCCACCCCTTTGGTAATTTCAATTTTGCAGTCAGGTTCTAGGGTTTGTTTAGTTTTGTTTTGTCTTTTCCTTTGTTTTGTTTCACTCTAGTCCACAGAAGAGTGAAATTATTCTGCATTTGTCTTATTTCACTTAACATATAATTCCCTCCAGTTCCATCCATGTTGTTGCAAATTGCAAGATTTCATCTCTTTTTAAATAGCTGAGTATTTTTGCATTGTGAATATGTACTACATATTCTTTATCACTTCACTGTCCTTGGTTATTTACATGGCTTGATTATTGTAAATAGTGTTACAATGAACATAAGAGTGAATACTCATTCAGATTAGCGTTTCCACTTTTTTTGTCCAGATACATAGGGGTGGAAATGCGGGAGCACATGGTATGTCTATTTTTAACATTTTGTGTAACCTCGATATTGTTTTCCATAAGGGCTAGATCATACTACATTCCCACCAACAGTGTATGAGGGTTTGGTTTTCTCTATACTCTCATCAACATCTGTTGTTCTGGTCTTTTTGACATGGGCTGTTCTCACAGATGAGAGGGGATATCTCAGTGTATTTGGATTTGTATTTTCCTGCTAGAAAGTAATACTGACAATTTTTTCATGTACCATTGACTATTTGTATATCTTCTTTGGAGAACTGTCTAAGTCTTCCGTGTATTTCTTGCTTGGGTTATAGTTTTTATTGAGTTGTATGGATTCTTTATAGATCTTAAATATAAACCCTTTGTTGGGTGTATGATATGCAAATAAGTCCTTCCACTTGGTAAGATTTTGCTTAGGTTTTTAATCCCTTTCCTTGTATAGCCGCAATAGTTTGTCAATGCCCTTAGAAAAAGATCAGCTATGTGCTTGAAGCACCAACTTTTGGTGGCTGCTGAAAATTCTATTGATTTCTCTGCTCCCTTGTAAATCCTCCATTATTAGCCTGAATCCATTTGGGAGGATATGTCCTGTTTAACTGTTCTCCGTTTCAGTGACAGAATTGGAAAATGTCCCTAACTGGGGTAAAGTGGTGAACTTGCCACTCTCAGTTTCCTTCTTCTCCAGTCTTAGCCTCTTTAGTTCTTGTTGCCACAATAGACAGATGCTCTCTGCATTTTATCCAATTTTTCTAGTTGTTCTAGCAGAAGCACACCTCTGCCACTTTCCTACCCAGAAATGCAGTCCCGCTTTACTTATTTAGGATGTTTAAGATTGTACATTCATATTTTCATTAAAGATCTGTAATAGGAACCCATCCCAGTTCATCTTTTGTCTATGTCTACATAAACTTAGATTATGATGCTATTCTGATATCCATTCAGAGTTATAAGTAGTGTGTATTTTACATCACACCTTACTAGTTTTTGTCTTGATATTATAAACAAGATCACTTTACCCTAAGATCCTTACCACTGTCACATGACAAATAAATTCTTTACTAATAAGAATTAAGTTTCACTTAATAATTAACTTTATTGGTTCAGCTATTCTGAGATATAAACATGTTGGTAAAGTAAGTAAAACATTTTTTTTTTAAATTCTCTTCATGTCATTTGGACCATTGGGCTTTTAAACTAACATTATTATTGAAATGTGGTTATCAGTTTAGTTTTTAAGGAAGAAGGCCAGCTGGCATTTTCTGTTGATAATTCTGTTCTTCATTGGGTTGCTATGGCTCAGATTTTCACTTGAATTGAAAATTTTCAGTTCATCTAAAAAATCATCAATATCAGAGAAACTGAGGTAGGCTATAAATCAGGCAGACATCTTGATGAAAGTACCAATTTACTAATTTATTGTGGTAAAACCAAGAATGCTGGGCCTCCCTGGTGGCGCAGCGGTTGAGCGCTGGGTTGCGAAGCTGCCTGCAGCCTCTGCAACACCAGTTTGATCCCCGGCTGCTCCCCAACCACTGGAGGAGGGTCCCACAAGGCACACAGACCTCTCCTGCGGCCCGCTGCTCCCCTCAGCAGTGTACTTCGGTCCTTCTGCCTGCTCTGCTCCCCGCTCTGGCTCTGGTGAATTCTCTCACCCTCCAGCGCTTCTCACTGTACCCAGCACTTCTGATTGTATACAATCAATCAATCTTAAAAAAACAAAAAAACAAACAAAAAAAAACAAGACTGCTATCTGGGATACTGTCTTCTTGTTAGCATTTATTGTAGGTGAATCTAAAGGAAAATGGATAATTTAGTGGCTTATTAGACCAGATTATAGCAACTGTTTTCTCTCTCTTACACAGAAGTAGAATGAATAGTGTGTTTACTAAGTAGACACATGCAAATTATTTGCTCTTCCTAAGTACTCAGATACTTAAGTCTGCCAAATACATAATCACTCTTCTTAGGTCTTGCTAGTTAGACATCATCAAATCCTACTATAGTTCTTCCTTTACTAGATCTCCTGTAGACCACCATACTCTTCTGATTGTAGCTGTTATTGGCATGCTGCAATTTCCAAGTTTACATTAAATTATATACTTATAATAATAATACATTTTGATTAATAGTTTATTAATAATATATGAAAGATACCCTAACTTTATTTATAGCAAATGTAAAAAATATGATTTGCAGTGGGTTGTGCTGTAGTTGTCTAGTATCTATCATGACATATAGCATTTTGCAATCCTATATAAGATTTCCAAATTCATGGAGGAAATCTCATTTAACATTTGCAATATATATATTTACAATTAATTGCCCTTTTTAACTTGTAAAAATGTAAGTGTGTAGTATTAGATTCATTTAAAATAAGATAACCTATTATTTTAAATATCCTGGTGCATATTTATGATAGTCTTCTGAGTATGATCTTAATGGTCCCTTCATTTGTAGATAGCTGTAATTGCCATTTTTGAAATTTAAGTACATTGGCTCTTTAAAATACATCAAAGTAAAAATATAAATATTGTCTTACCAGTCAGATATTCTTCTGTATATTTTTATGTTAGCACATTAAAACACCTGGTCTTACTTTTCAGCCACTCTTACCCTTCTATCATCAATTGAATTTTCCCCTTGTTTAAAAACACTGGTTGGAGGATTTCACATCAGTAAACCAGAATATATAGAAGTTGAAAAGAATGATTCTCATGTACAATAGAGGTACAAATACAGAGATATATATTAATGCACATTTTAGTTCTCACAAAAGTAACTTGAGGAACCATTCACAAGAAAAAGATAAAATAATTGTAAAAGATGTGATGGTAATAGTTCAAAAGAAAAAACAGCTCTAGAACAATCCATCTCCCTCATATTCTCTGGTAGTGAGATTTTGACATTTTCTAATGAATGTATTAAAAGAAAAAATGAAATATACTTCAAAACTTATGCATTAATATAATTTTGAATTCAACATTTCTATAGCCCTCTGCTCTTTTAGTCACCTCTCAAAACCTAGGCCCATAGGACTCCAATACCAATGGAGTCTTGACAAACTCAGGACCTGATGTCCAAGCAAGAATATGGGTTCTGAGTGTCCAGTTGTGCCCCTGAACAAACAATTCAGACTTCTATAGCAATCAGAACCATGTTCTGCTTTGGTTGTGATAAAGCTTTTAGCTCCTAAAATAAGAATGCAAAAATGTTGAATTTCTTGAGAAATAAATGATATTAAATGGATTATGAATTTAACAGGCTAAAGAGAATGAAATACTAAATGTGACAAATGAAGTGCACGTTGTGGAGAACACTATGGAAAGGCGGAAGACAGAAAGGGAAGAACTCAGTCGCATTTGGGTAGCATGGAAACTTAAAGCCTCTGAAAGCAAGCCTGTGAAACAGCAATGGAGCGCCCTCAAAGAGCAACTTAGAAAGGTAAGAGGATATTCAGTGGGTGTTTCTCTGTCTTAAAAAGGAATGAAATTCTGATACATGCTAGAACATGTATGAAATGAAAGCTTTATACTAAGTAAAAGTTGTATTTAGTGAAAGAAGTCAAACACAAAAAGATAAATATTGTATGACTCCACTTAGTTGATGGAGGTATCGAAAGCAGTTAAATTCAAAGAGAGAGAAGGCAGACTAGGGGCAAAGAGAAGAGGCAGGAAGAATAAGTGTTGAATGGGGACAGAGATTCTGTTTGGGAGGATGGGAAATCTCTGGAGATGGATGATAGGAATAGCTGCTCACCAATCTGAATGTATTTAATTCCACTGAACTGTACACTTAAAAATGGTTAAAATGATAAATTTTGTTATGTATATTTTGCCATAATAAAACCAAAAAAGGTCAAGGAAACTCAAGTCTGTGCTCTTTTCACTGGTGGATTGGCACTCAATGGCCCTACTGTTTGTTTTCATGGGAATTAAAGTCAGATGACACTTCACGGTATCACAGGGATGAGCCGGTGTTAATCATACCCATAACTACCCAATGCTTATTTCAGACTACTCACAACTTAAAGCTGCTTCAAGAAGCACTTTGGCCTGTGTCTGCACTTAACCTTGGAGAAAGTGTCCAGATCATTTTCAATCTAATGGGAAAATGGAATGAAATGAAGTCTCAGTTCCAGGTAAGGAAACAGATGGATATACTTGTATGAATGGAAAAACAGATTTTTTAATGTTTTTTTAAAGTGATAAAACTGTATTTTTATTTTTATTTTATTTTACTTTTTGATTGAAATCCTCCATTTGCATTTGTATTTTTTTTAACTTTTCATTTGAGGCTTACTTAACAAATTTTAATAGACTGGTAAATTACTATTTTTTAAAAGATTTGTTTATTTACACAGGAACTGGGGTACAGGCCAGAGGTGCGGGAGGGTGAGAGAATTCACTAGAGACAGAGTGAAGAGCAGAATAGGCAGAAGACCAAAAACACTGCTGAGGGGAGCAGTGGGCAAGACAGGAGAGGTCTGCAGCACCATGTGGGGATCTCCCTGGGCAGCCTGGAATTGAACCCATGCTGCAGAGTCTGCAGACAGCTTCAGAGCATTGCACTCAACCCACTGCGCCACCAGGGAGGCTCCCTAAATTACTGTTTTTTAAAGCAGCTTGTCCAAAGCCACTTTAAAAACACATTTTTCTTTCTTATTTTCTATACTGTTCTGTATTTCATGATACACAAACACTCAGGCTCCAAAATGTCCTAAATATATCCTTATCTTAGATTTTCTTAATTTCTATTAGATTATTTCCTTATCAATGCATTTATTATAGTATAAACTCTGATTATTTTTCCAAAGAATATACATGTATTTTAGGTTGAGTTATTTCAGAACAAGGATGGATAACCTCTGACATGGATGGTCTCCTGCCCTCTGCCCCTAAAATTGCCTCTATGATGTCACTATCTCCACCTTCTGGCACCCAGGATCCTACCACCTGCCCAGGAATTATGCTGTGTTCTCCTACTCCCCCTCTCAGAGAGATAAAACCATGAGTCATGTTCCCAGGCTCAGAATTCCAATGCCTTCTATACCCCCATCTCCCGTTGCTCCTGCATTGACACAACAGTCAAAAATGTCACCAGTCATGTTATCCTCCTGCCTGAATTCTTGTTCTTAGCTGCAAAATTAAGATAACTTTCTGTCATGAATTTGTAAGTACTGACTTTAAAGATTCTCATAATCTTTAAAGATTTAGGTTTAGGTTTAGATTTAGGTTCCCTTAGGGTATATCTACTTTAGGTGCCTTTAAGTTAGATGACATAATATTTAACTGCCCTCCACCAACCCCCTGGCCCCCAAATAATCACAAAAGCATACATCATTGTAACCTAAAGTGAACTCTTTCCTCCAAAATCAAAATTCTACTAATCTACATGCTAGGGTTTTTTGGTAATAACTTGTGCTATATGCTTACTTGAGTTTCATGAGTGCCCTGCACCTGCATAAGGGTGTGTGTGTGTGTTTGCCTCTAAATCAGGGAACTTTGCCAACCTTCTTGTGCTATGTCACAGTGATGTGTGCGTATTTGGTGCCCACATGCTAAATTTCAACTTGAACACCTATTAGGTCACTCTTTCTTAAAATATCTCTTAGCCTAAATCATTTCTATCACATTTATCATGAAATTATAGTGGCTTCCTCTTTGAGTTGTCCACCCTTTGCATGTTCTCCCCAGGATCTGAATTCCTATGATCCTTATCAGGGATAAGGGCTGTCTTGGGCTGTGCTGAATTAAAGGGAAGGTGGTTTGTCCCTTCCTACATGTGGTGGCTCTTTGTGGATTCTAGTGTGACTATTTTTAAAGCAGTATATCTATGGTGCCAGAGGGTTCATGTGCTGTTGGTCCATTCTGATTATTCTTTTCTCACAAAGCACTAATAATTCCCCAATAAATTTTTAAATTTGTCTTCTCTATGTGTTCTTATACCACCTGATTCTTACCTTTATTATATCAGAGATGCTTCTGTCTTCATAAAATAATTTTATTATTACTTAACAGATCGCTAGAATATTTGGTGGGCCTTAGAAATACATTACATGTCACCATCCATGAAATACTGTTTGCATTGCTAATATATACTTTTTAAATTTCTGAGCATAGGGCATATAGTGTTATATCCCTAGCATCAAGTATAATGCCTGGATTTGAGAGAACGTGCAAAGGGAGTGGTTCATAATAATATTAAATTAGAGAATGGTTTGTTTAGATCTTCATGTATTCAATTGCAAAATTTTAAAAAACTCTAAAAGCTGGTTTCTGTCATTACGTTTAACTTTTTAGCAATTGAATAATGAGGTTCAGTACATTATAAAAGAATCAGAAAAGTTAAGTGACAAAGGAGTTCCCGTGAAAGAGAAATCTCAACAATTGAAGGACCTTATATACCTCCACAAAAAACAGAAAGAGAAAATCCAAGATTACAATAATATCCTGTACAAAGTAATTCATTTCCACCAAGTCAAGGAAAAGGTAAGGATTGCTATGGATGTTTGGAGAACCCTTAGTTATAAAATTAAAAATAAATTGCCATGCAATAAATAAAGACCAAATTGCTCATTCTGACATAAGAAGCTTTCTATAGGGCCTCCCCTGGTGTTTGAGCACTGGGGTGCTAGGCTGCCCACTGCCTCTGTGGCGCTGGTTCGTCCCCAGCTGCCAGCGAGGGTCCCACAAAAAAAAAAAAAAAAAAAAAAGAAGCTTTCTATAAACCGGAACTCATTCCCTATTCTCCTTTATGTTCTAGCCAAACTGAACTTTTCCTTGCCCCTCCAAGGCAGCAGGTGTGACTCAAGCTATCATTATCTCAGGTCCTTTTTTTTTTTTTTCCCACTCTCTAAACTCTACTCCCAACAGTGCTATCTACTTGGAGTGATTTCTCTCTCTTTTAAGTGCCTAGAATACTCATTGCTTATTGCAAACAACTGTCATTTTTAGCATCTTGATTCCTAATTACTTTTAAACATAGATCATTTTTTCACCAGCTTTTTGAAGGAAGAAAACTTACTCAATTTTTTTGCGTCTCAAGTGCCTTACATTATAAGGTGTAAGGAGTGCTCAACAAATGCTTGTTTGTTGCCTTTTTACTGAAACTTCTCACCTTTTAGCCTATATTAATGGCAAAGGCAAAGGTATTGATATCCTTAAAAATAACCTCTGAATTTACTTAGATTACAGGCATAGATCTTGCTAAAATTTTGGGCTATGATCAGAGTGTTTTTTTCTTTAATAGAACTAATAGTGTTAGCCCTTTGATTTTACTGTACTGACATACAGTATGGTATAATAGTAATAATTATAGATGGGCTTCATAGCATTTTGACCAGCTAGTAAAATTTGTTTTAAGAAATAGACTTTTAAAAAATTTCCTCCCTTCCTAAAATAATAATGAAATTTAGGTTAACTGTTAATGCCCTAAATTCCAGCTGGGATTTCTCATCAAATCAAGAGAACTGGAGTTTCTAGAACAGCCAATGGAACTGGAGAATGCTCACAAGGTCCAGATTCACCTCAGTCGCTCTCAGGAAAAGCAGATACAAATGGACCACCTTCGTACACTGGCCCTTTCCCTGGGAAGGGACATCATCTCATTGATGCAGCAATCTGTAAGCAAATTAGATCATTTTCATCACCCCTAATCCTAGCTGAGAACTGGGCTCTAACATGAAAGAAATAAGATTGCCCAGTATATGTTAATTTAAAATACATATTATTTTTCAGCTTGTCTTTATCTGACTATTAATTGATAGCTGACTATAGACTGCAGGACCAAGGTGAGGAGGGGTTCAGGGAGGAGAAAGAACAAAGAGGAAGGAAGCACAATGGTCTGTGGTAGCCTATGGGTGAGTAATACCTGCTAGGGGTACTCCAATGTTACCTCAGTTAAAACTAAATAAATACATTGAAAAATAAAATAAATAAATAAATTGAAAAATGAGAAAAATAAAAATAATGTAAAATAAAAAATGAACATATATATATATAAAACCTAAAAAGACCTTGTGTTTTAAAAAAAATGAAAAACACATTAAAACATTGGAATAGTGATTTATGGCAAGTTCCTACCAATTATAGAAAAGAAAAAAAGAAGAAAATGTGGTTATAAAAGTCTTGTTTAATACATCTGTTATGCTAATTTAAAAAAATTAGAGCGCTGTATTGTCTAATATAGCAGTTGGTATTTTTTGCATTTGATATATGCGTAGTACAACTAAAGAATAAAACTTTAAATTTATTTAATTTTAATTAATTTAAATTTAAAAGCTGACAATGTAGTTATTGGAAAACTTTTAAATATGCTGGAACCAACTTGGATATATGAATTTATATTTTAAACTCTAAACTATGAAATTTAAATACAAATCAAACATTTCTAATAGAAATTTAACAAAAACTGGGATGTACTGTAAGTGTGAAATACACACGGAATTTCTAAGTCTACTGTGAAAAAACTTATTAATTTTTTTACTATTTGGTTACATGTTAAAAGGATGATATTTGGACATAATCTGGTTAAGTAAGCAATGTGAAAATTAATTGCACCCCTTTTTGTGCTTTTTAACATGGCTAGTAGAAAATATTAATGTATGTGGCCCATACTATATTTCTGTTGGGCAATGCTGTTTAAGCATTTCAGATCTGGAGTGTACCTTTGAGATCATTTAACTCAGAATTCTCATTTAACAGCCGAAGACTCTGAGGCTCAGAAATACTGCTTTGTCCATAAAATGCCAACATGGAGCCGCCCAGTCACCGAATCTGCTTTATACCCCTTGACTAGGGGAGCCTAAAAGAGGAGGAAATATTCCAGATCAAGTTTTCAGAAATAATATTTGGGGGCTCTGGATATTTTCTTTAAAAGCCTTCTCAAATTCCTAATTGGAAGGGACAAAAGATTATGTTTATCCTATCCAAAATGTAAAACATCAATAAAGTTATGATGGCCAATTTTATTTCAAAGTTCATTTAAGATAACTACACCATATGGAATGTACTGACCATACAGTATTTTTTAAATCTATTTCTATCAAGAAGGAGCTTTCTTTGTAAAGAGTTTTGTATTATTAGTAAATTTATGTTAAAATGGAAGAAAAAAAGTCAGACGTCTCATTTTGCACAAATAATGTAAATTATTCTTCCATCCAGTGTGGCCTTGGCCTCCGCAGCCCTCTGTGCTGAGCGGAGATTGGAGCACTTGCATAATGAACCTGAGGTTAAGCGCAAGATGACGGGAAAATTAGAGTGCAGAAGCCAAATGTTTCTAATGCATATTTTATGCCTTTTGAAGTAAAAATTATGCCTTATAATGAATGGTGTCTCTGAGGAGTTGGATATGATGAGCAAATCTTCGAAACTGAAGTTTCAAGACCGGAAATGTAACATTTAGCCTTTCCCATCATGTTGGTGTCTGGCTTCTTTCTGAAATCATTATATTCAAATATGCTTAAGATAAAATAAATCAGGAACCTGTTTTTTTAAATGTCATTTATGAGTTTCATAATGCAAGTAAATAGCATGCTCGTCTCATAGCTGCTTTTGTTAGTGGTTCCCTTTGTAACTTCATGTCTCTTTCACTTTTAGAACTACTCTAATGTCTCTGCAAAGAGCCTGCAGCAACAGCTGGACATTCTGGAGGGGGACAGTATGAGCTGGCGTGCTAAAGTGGAGGAGTATGAACAGACCCTGACCTGCAGCTTGGGGTACTGCACCACGAGGGACGAGATAAATGAGGTGGGGCAGCAGGACAAAAGGGGCCATTGACAAAGCTGCTATGACCCTACATACCACACTGGGCATGTGCACACTCTCACACCACATGGACTCAGAAGATTTTCTTTTCACCTCTGACTTTTAATCCAACAGGCAGTGCCCTCGGGGCTCAGAAAGTTTGAGCAAACTTCAACTCCCAAACTTGTTGAAGTTAGTTATGTTGTCACTGGGTACAAAAACCCTAGAATGTAGAATTATGGTTTTTTTGTTTGCTCCCCACCCCCCGCCCTCCTAGCTGTCATTTGATTGAGTGGATACAGACTGTCAGGGCAGAAAGGGTGACACCATCCTGTTGTGACCAGTTCTAGCCTGCTGAGATTCTATTTAAGTGTCTGACTCATGATGAAGGGGTGCTGAGGGACCTGGAGAAGACTCTGCTTCAGAGGCTACAAAGTATTTTCACCAAAGTCTAGTGATTAGTTTCATGTTTACCCAAAGTGAATTGCTTTATTTTTTAGTTTTTTTTTTGTCTTATCAATTTGTCAGTCATTTACATATCTATATAACATTGGGGGTACATTGTCATACCTCCATATGTGCACGTACTTCATTCACCCTCCACCAGTGCTCCGGTGCTAAAGACCAAAACCCTTCTTCCCTGACCTCTCTTCCCTCCCCCCTATTCCCTCTTGTACCCAGTTTATTTTTCAGAGTCTAAGAATTTTTTTGTGCTTTGCCAGAATGTGTTCTTTGGTGTTTATATTCTACAAATGAGTGTATCCATCTTTTACTTTCTGACTTCTTTTCACTTAGCATAATCACCTCAAAATCCATCCATTTTGTCCCCAAAGGCACTATTTTATTTTTTTAAAATAGCTGAGTAGTATTTCATTGAATACATGTTCCACGATTTCTTTATCCAATCACCTGTTGTTAAGAATGTAGAATTTTTCCATTCTTGGCTATTGTGGATAATGTTGCCATGAACATAGAAGTGTATTAAGTCTTTTCATGTTAGAATTTTTATGTTCTTTGACCAAATAGCTAGCGGTGCTACTACTGAACCATATGGTATTTCCATTTTTTTTAAGGTATCTCCATACCACTTGCCCTAGATAGAGTCTGTACCCAGTTACATTTCCACCAACAGCAGAAGAGTGTTCCTTTTCTCTACATCCTTATCAACATTTGTTATTTCCATTTTTTATATAGGCCATTCTCACAGGAGTGAAAATGTTTTTTCCTTATAAGAAGTGATGTAAAACATTTTTTCACATGCCTATAGGTCAGCTGAATGTCTCCTTTGGAGAAGTGTCTATATTTTTTACCTATTTTTTGATTGGGTTGTTTGGTTTTTGTTGCTAAATTGTGTGCACCAAGTGACTTTTCTAGCAAAAAATCTTTTAGAAAGAAAGAAATAGTGGATGAAAGTTGTTTTCTAAGTTCACATACCCCACACACTTGTGATTCCACCTCCACTCCTTCCATCCTACCCAAACCCTAGACCCAGGCATTACTGAATCACCATCACTGCCCTCCTCTAACTAAATTTTCCATCCAAAAGCTTGCTTGTTCTAAGGGGAAAACACAAATCAGGATAGCAAAGTTCTTGAATCTTAACTAGAAATCAGCAGCAAAACATATAATTCCAGATTTGTCTCCATTTAGAGAAAATATTTCTGAATCCACTAGCACACATTCATTAGGAGAGAAGTGGGGAGGAAAGGAAGCAGTAAGCCTTTTTGAACATTCTGTTTATGCCCAGTTTATCCAATAAGACCCAACAAGTACCAAATACTATCAAACAACTTTAAGGCATGGTTTAAAACATAACTCCACTTGAATGATGGCCTAGCTCTGAAGTGCCATTTCCTGTGGGCCATAATTTTATAGACTGCGGTTAAGTGAAGAAGGGAGTGCGACTGGAAAGAAAATGAGAGGAGACAGTGTGAGAAGCCACTTGGAGCCTTTCAAAAGGAGAGAAACAAGAACTAACATCAACAAGGATCTCTAACTTAGCAGTGGGCTACAGGACTACAGAGTTTCTGCTCAGACTCTGTTCTGGGGTTAGAGACTGGTTAACTCAGTTAAGGTTTAACCCATAGTTTAGCCTGGTGTGGATGGAATAGAAGAGCCTCTTTCACGTCTGGTACAGGTCTTGTTAAAGAAAATGACCTTCAGGAAAGCCGTCTTCTCCCCAAGGCTATAAAAGTTATTTTTACAGCCAGGGAAACAACTTTTTGTATTATTCTTTCCCCAAAGTTATCTCTTTCATCTCCTCCTCCTGGTCCTCATGCTCCTTCTTCTCTCTAGTTCTCTTTATCTTTTTCCGCCTTCTCTTCCCTCCTCCTCCTCCTTTTCTTCTTTTGTTTAGTTGTTATTATATATATTTTTTTTGGATATTTTTGTCCTGTTGAAAATATCCCTCTGCAGTGCTGCTTAGTTCTGTATTTACTGAAAGCACTAGTGGGGCAGGCTAAGGGTCATCCTCATCTTCCCAGACCCCCCCCACCCCTTACCACCCCCACCCCCGCTCCCCATGGTTTGGTTTCCATTTCCCTAAGTGCCGTGGTGCTGTGGTATTCATGGACCTGGGTCTCCTTGTTCAGGCCCTTCCCAGAGTGGTTCTATTTACAGGGCTGCCTCGTGATGAGCCTGTGCTGGAAACCAGCCAGTGGGGATAACAGATGTCCCTTCCAGTCATAGTAGGGATGCCCTAGGATTGTCTGTTCTATTACAGGAGTAAGCAACCAGATATATGCAAGTTTTATTTTGGAGTCAGATATCACTTTAGCATGATCTTAAATATTAACTGAGTTGTCCTTCTCATTTGCTTTTACTTCAAATTCAACTAATTGTTGATGGAAATTACAGTTTTACTTAGAAAGGATCTTTGAAAAAATTGTGGTCCCTTTTCCCTTGTCCTTTCTTGTAGAGATACTACCGGCATGTCAGCGTGTAGCACCTGCACCCTGGACTTTCCTACCATAAGTTTAATGGGAAATTAAATAAAAAGTGGCATGATTTTGTTTTGTTTTTATTTTTTATACTGTTCTTATTTTTTATATTTATTTCCTTACATAGTTGTTAATTTTTGAACAGGATTTGATTTCTCTCCTCTGGTGTAGTCCCTGCAGTCGGGTGTAGCACCCGGCACCCATCACCACAGTCCCTTGTGCTCTTCCCTCTCCTTTCCCTCCCCTGCTGTATGCCTCAGGATAGCAAAGGTCTTGAATCTTTGGTCTATGGTCAGTTTGCAAATTTTGTCTTTTTTTCTGATCCTTTGTTTGGTTTTCCTATCATGCTCATAAGGGAAACCATCCTGTATTTATCTTTTTCCCAAAATGAATATTTTTCAGTGCCTTTTAGTAAAATTGAGATATGTGTGTTCTAGTTTGTAGTGTGAATATCAGAAAACAAACAGATGGCCAGATTCCAAGTGGTAATAATATTTGACACATACACCTATCATTATTGTTATTTTTAGTTTGGGCCAAAGGCTTTATTGGACACCGACACAAATGTCACCTAATATTTTAGCCCATTCAACCACTGTATGGTCTGATGTTAAATGTATCCTTTTTCCATGCTTTCCTCTTCTTTGCTTATTGTTTGCTTATTTTATACACTATTTGCATGGTCTGATAATGTAGCACAGTTCAGTTGGTTATCCTGACAATGCCATGACTAACATAAGATTCTAAAGGCCCTTAGAAAAGGACTCAGCTCCTCAAGGCAAAGAGATTTTTTTTTAAAGATTTATTTTATTTATACAAGAGCCGGGGTACAGGCCATATGCAAGGGAGGGTGAGAGGATTTACAGGCAGAGTGGGGAACAGAACAGGCAGACTGATGAAATGCACTGCTGAGGGGAGCAGCAGGCGAGACAGGAGAGGTCTACTCACCATGTGGGTTGCTCCAAGGCTGGCGGGGATCGAACCAGCACTGCAGAGGCTGCGGACAGCTTCAGAGCGCTGAGCTCAACCACCTGTACCACCAGGGAGGCCCCCAAAGTGATGTTTTTAAAGTCATTTTTTATCCAAATGTGATTTTGTGGTGTGGCATTCCTTAGAAACAAAGAACCATGGTTTGGGGCCTTAATTATATTGGGTAAAATATTATTTTCTAATTTCATACACCATGAAAAGCAAAGGAAATTGTAAAACCTGATTTTCTCCATGTTTACCTACTGAAAACAAAGCCTCAGACTGCCAGCTTCTGTGTTATTTTCCATCCATTTCTCATGAAGATACATTTGTATGCATGAATATTGATTTTGCTGCATATTTTCTTGCCTGGAAATATAAATAAATTGTTAATACAAAACACTATAGACATTCTCTGCTGTATTACATGACAGAACATTACTATTTACTCATTCCTTACACATCTTCATTTAGAAATATAATGAGTTAATGTTGAGCATGTTTTCTTCTTGCAACCTGACCCAAAAAATTATCTTTACATTTATATGATGTTAATGGAAATTTGTAACTGGAGTCTCATTACGGGTCACAAGCAATTACTTTGCTGAAAAGAATAGTAATGACAGAATCGGGTTGGAATCCATTTTCTCAAAATAAGTTTTGCAAATAGAAGTTTTCATATAACTATTTCAGTGAGAAGTTTTTACACTGTGGCAATGTCTTACTCATCAAGAAGGAAGCAAAAAAGGACCTGTGTGTGTGTGTGTGTGTGTGTGTGTGTGTGTGTGTGTGTGTGTATATGTTCCATACATTAGTCTTGTGTTTTTGCGTTCCAGTCAAGCAAATTCCTTGGTCAACTTGGAGAAGTCTGTTATCTGAATTCCAGGGAAACAAGGCAGATTAGAAGCAATAAATTGCAACAGAGGAATGGTGCTGCTGCAGCACACAAACACTAAGTTATTCAAATTAAACCTCTTGACATTGTATAGTGCTTTGTCATTCACACAATGACACAATGACCTTGACAACCACAGGCTGGCAAGAAAGGAAGCAGAAAAAGAGTGCAAAACTACACCATGGAAGTAGCACCATGATGTAGTACAGGTATTTCCCAGATTGATAACCCCATTTCATCGTTAAAAAAGGGGGCCTCCCCGGTGGCGCAGTGGTTGAGCGCTGGGCTGTGAAGCTGCCCGCAGCCTCTGTAGCACCGGTTCAATCCCCGGCCACTGGGCGAGGGTCCAACATGGTGTGCAGACCTCTCCTGCCACACCCGCTGCTCCCCTCAGCAGTGTATTTCGGTCCTTCTGCCTGTTCTGCTCCTGCTCTGGCTCTGGTGAATTCTGTTACCCTCTTGCGCTTCTGACTGTACCCAGTGCTTATATGAATAAATAAATCTTAAAAAAAAAAAAAGACTAGTTCCTTGTCATTCAGCTAATATATTTAGTGATGACTACTATGTGAAAGGTCATAACAGTATCACAGTCCTTGGGAAACAGTGTTCAAGGCAAATGAAAGCCCATGGAACTTCACAGTCATAGCTGATCGTTATTGGGTCCTTAACCCTCTCTGTGGGTCCTTTTGGATGGTATGTGTGAGAAGATGAGAACAATTAGAATTTATTCTGAAAATGCCCATCCCATGGGGTTAAAAGTCTGGTGTTGAACATTTGCAAAAGATACTTTTGCCTGAAGAATATAAGAACTGAAATTTGAAATCATAATTATCATGTCCAGAAAATCAAACTTAAATATATTATAAACACACAAACTTGCAGAGTGAGTTAAATACCTTCTACTGAGAAATGCTGCCACCTATAATTTAAAAAAGAGCAACTGTCTTCTCTTTTCAAGCTGCCCAACTTCCTGCTGCTCCAAGACTGGCCTTAAGCAGAGAACAACCATGTGGTTGCCGAATGGGAGGAGGCCAAGAAAGTCTTGTCCTAAAAGCTCACCAGCACTAAGCTTTAATTTTTTTTACCACTGATAATCGTAGCAAATCATCTGGGTTAAATTATGAATCTTTGGGTTCCTTCATTTCAAATGGAAGCTTTCCCAGGAGGTGATAACAACTGCAGCTTTCTGTTACTGAAAATGAGTGTCAGAAAGCTTTTTTTTTTTTTTCAGAGTAGGAAAAATGGTGGGCAAGAAATGAAACTCATGAAGTGGACATTAAGAGAAATGAAAATTCAGGACTTGTTGTGTGTTTTTGCATCTGGCCAAGCATGTGACCCAGTTTTAATGAAAGGCTTTCATTTTAAATGCATTTCCTCAGTTTTAAAATGCCCTGTGTCCCTCGCATAAATAGGCCTTGCCAGCCAAGACTTACAAATAATACATTCTTGTGCCAAAGTTGCCTCAACCAGTTCTGTCAAGACTAAAAATAGCAAGCCAACCTCACTGTCATCAGTTTCCTTTCCTGCTGCTTTTCAAAGAAGGTTGTTCGTTCCTAACCCTGAGAGAGGCTTTCTGCTCCCTGGGAACTATTCCTTCTGCTAGTTTCAAAAGAACTACAATCTTACAGTCTTAATATTTTTTTTCAAATGATAGCTATAGTAACTGAGTCTGTTTATTCCATAGCAAACATAGAGGAGCTAAGCAAGTGGAAAGATAGGAAAATCACATTAGAAAAAAAAGATCTTTCTCCTGATTTTACTACAACTTTCACAAAATCTGTTACTATGAATTATAACATGAAAAAAAATTCCAGTAGTGTAAACTTTCCTTTGCTCCAAGCTTTGCATGTTTTCTTTTTCAGTTATGTGCTCAAATTGAGCAGTTGTCTTAACCATCTCCACCACTCCCCATTGTTGACAAGCTAACTAAAGTTAGCAACAGCTGCATGAACAATGATTCCACATTCAAGCAACATGGCCCTCGGTTCCTTTAAAAATATGAACACAAGTGATTAGATAAGAACTGAAGCTTTCCTATTAGAATGTGCAGGTGAGAATACCAGGCATGGGCAGATTTTTCTGAAAATCTTGCTGAAGGTAGTTCATGCATGCTGCCTGCTACTTGTGTCTGCAGTGGTCATGAATCCGAGCTGGGAAAGGCCCAGGATTTAAAACAGATTCCATGAGACCAAAAAGTACCAGCAACTTTGTCAAAGGAACTCATGAGTCAGAAAGAAGATGATCCCATTTCACATATTTCCACAGCGCCGTGAACATCCTGTGGCTTTATAAATCATCTTCAGGGGAAGTCCACGCATTCTCAAGCACACAGGAATAAAATTGCACTTATCATTTATAAGTCTTAAATTTCTTAATCCAAAGTAGACTTAGAATGCCATGGTTTAGAATTAAAGTGTTAAGGCTCACTCTTTCTCCATTCATCACATAGTTTCAAATAGATGTTGATCTTTCCCATTAAAACAAGCAGATATAACTCACTGGTTTTCAGATTGATGACAGAGTGCCACTTCCTTTCTTTAAACTGAAGTTTATAGCAAATGCCATGTTACAGTAAGAAAATGTATATATTATATTTATGTACAATATGTATCATATTAATATATTTTTCTAATGGGTAAATATTAGTGATGGTGCATTTTTTCTTCCCCTTAATTTTTTATTCTATTTTATTATTCTTTATTTTATTTTATTTATATAAAATATATTTTCACTTATTTAAAATTTTATTTTAAAACTGAAAAATACACAATATTTACCATTTTAATCATTTTAAGGACAGTTCTTGAAATTTAAGTACATTCATGGTGTTGTACAACCATCATCAATATCCATCTTCAGCACTTTTTCATCATTGCAAACTGGAACTCTGTACTCATTAAAACAGTAGCTCCCAGCAGAAGACATGTTTTAACAGGAGAATCTCTCATTTCCTCAGACATAGTCATTATTACACCTATAGTTGCATATTATAACTTCAGGGAAGAGAAGTTCCTAACAAAGTTTTATGTAGAAATAAAAGATGTAGTGCCTTTATTGCTCAATCCTATAAAATTGCCCTCATTTGTCCTCTCTGATTAAAATCCAACACATGCATATTAAAACATTGAATGTCAGAGAAATTAAATTTTAATTGGTTACTTCATATACATGCCAACTGAATATGACTTGAATTTTTTTCCTGAGTTCAAATAGAGAAATAGTTTTCAGATTTTGAAGTTCTATTTATTTCTATTCTTTTGAATACCACTGATTAACTGTTTTAAATCTTTTATGTGGTCTCTGTGCTTGCAGTTTAAAACTAATGTTCAACAATTTCACTTCCTATATAACAACACTGATTAAGTATAGGTATGTCAGATGGTTAAATCACATCAGTATAATTTTCATGTGTGCAAACCTCCTAGGGCTTTGTAGATAATTGTCTCCAAGAAGTGTTAAGGATAGGTTAAAGTTTTACTTTCATAATATGCAAAATTTGAAATACACATTATGAAAAAGCAAGCATTTGCTAAGGCAGTTATGTTTTTCTGCATTACAAGTTTAAAATCTATCATAGGCCTAGCTTTTATTCCCTCTCAATTCATTTGCTGCCATTGAAAAGAATTTTAATGTTTTTCTGCTTTTCTTAGATAGTTCAAATTTATCAGCCATGATATTGTTCACTCCTGCTGTTAAATGCTTCCATATAACCTGAGAATGTTTGTTTTTTCTGTACCTCTCTCTGCTGATAATATAGAGAGTTGCCTATCAGTATGCTTATCCTTTTTGAATATAGAGAAAAGCACATAAAGCAGTGTGTTTAGTGGAACTGACCTGAATTTTGGTACACTGGTAAAGCTGAACTGTTGTTAAGATTGCCATGATCCATGCCCTGTTTTCTTTCAGCAGCCATAGACTTACTCTGTATGCACAAGCTAGCCCTGGCAACAGCTGTCACTTTACTTTTCTGTCTTTGAATGGTTCTTGAAGTTAATTACCTCTATCTAAGAAGTAAATCTCTTCTGAAAATTGTTCATGAAAATTAATTTTTAGCTGGATTTGGGCTAATAAAGTTCTTTTCCTACTAAATCTCAAACTGGGTCACCTTTTCTGTCCTACTATAGGTGATCTAAATATGAACACATCACTGACCTCTGCTACATGAGGAGGTCCTTGGAATCTTATTAAATTTATATGTGATGGCTATAAGAGAACATTGGGAGGTAAAAGGCTCTAGGACTAATATTAGCACACAGAGAATAGAATGAATGTAAAAAATGATATCAAATAAATACAAATAAAAAATTGTCACTGTAAGTCTGCAATATTAGAAAATTTCTTGCTTTGACTCCCAAGGGTAATCTATAACTATAATCCCAATTATAAATTACAAATCAAAATGTACTAAGAATATATTATTAATATTTGGGGGATATGTTCAAATTCACATTTTTGTTCAGTTAGAACAAAATGGAATCACTGAATACATTTTGAAGATTACAAATATTTCAAAATGTTTAGCTATTTTGATTTATTACTAGTGAATATCAGTGTTTACATTTTAAGGAAAAAATGTGAATTTTTTTATTTTTATCGAACTGCAGCTCAAAGAGTCATTCAAAGATGTAAAAAAGAAGTTCAACAATTTAAAGTTTAATTACACCAAGAAAAATGAAAAAGCTCGGAACCTGAAGGCTCTTAAATATCATATTCAACAAGTTGATATGTCTGCTGAAAAAGTCCAGGTATCAAGCATGTATGTGAGTGTGCACATGTGTGCATGTGTGTGGAGGGGGTGGCACACACACATATACTACTACAATTATTGCAAAATCATTTTGCATTTCAATCCTAGATGCCTAACTTTTTTTTAATAGCATAGGGAGTGAAATGGTAGTTTTTCATTTTTATAAAATTTGAGTTCTTTGTTTAAACTATGTGAAAATTGATCTATCTCCTAAGGCAGCCCCAGAACTGCCAGACAACCCAGCTTCCCTGTTTCTATTCTTTTCCCAGCACACTCTCTCTCTCTCTCTCTCTCTCTCTCTCTCTCTCTCTCAGCTTTTGTACAACCATCTTCCTTTCTTGATACTCATGTAAGTCAGGAGATGACTGCCCTGTTCCTGTAACCTGATACGTACTTTATCACACTTACTGGCTAAGTTATTTAAATGTGTCTTTCCCAGGAAAGTGTAAGCTAACTGAGGAAACAAAAAATTTGATTTTATGATCATGGTCTTTCTTTTGTATTATAGTATCATTCTCTAAATCTAGAATAGATCCTGGTAAGTAATAGTCTTTATGTTGCTAAATGCTAAATCCATAAACTATCTGGAAGAAAATCTATTCTTTCCAAAATTCACTTGTAACAATTATGATTTTATATTATAATACAATAGAATATTCTAATAATAGCCCAATATTTCCAATAGTAATTGGAAAACTACATAATTTTTTTCAGTTTTTCTCTCAATATCTAATAACTAACTAGTACCATACATAAAAATTGAATATTATTTTTAAAACTTCTTTTGCACAGGCTTTGAAGAAAAAAATGGAAAACATTGAGAATAAAACTGATTTTCTCTTAAATTATCCAAATAATAAAGTTAATGTTCTTTTGGAAGCCATGAAGGATTTGCACAAGCATTTAGATGAGTTTGACAAAGTTGTGAAAGACTACAAGAAGAATTTGGACATGACTGAGCATCTTCAAGAGATGATAGAAGAGGTATCTTCTTGTCATAATGGTATCCATGTTGTTAGGTTGTTTTAAAAAATCATTCTGCTACTTTAAAAGAAGACTTCATTAACTATGATTGTTATTAATCCGCATACCATGCTCCTTTGCATGATTATTTCTTTAGGATAATTTTTTAAAGTAGAGTTTCTGGACCAAAGTGGATAAATTTTTTGATTGTTTTGTCCAATTATTCTTCAAAAGAAGAGTTTACAAATTTACTTTTACCAGTAACAAACACATGATAGTTTCTGATTTCTCCATACCCTCTTCAACTGAGAATGTTTAACCATCATGGAATTATATTCACAGTTGGATATCTGTCTGTGGTACTCAAAATGACTTGTTTGTTTCACAGAATTTGAAAATATTTTTTTAAATGATACTAGGATATTTCATGTACAAAAATTGCTTTTGGTGCTATTTTTGCTTTTGTGAAGAGGATAAATGGTAGAAACAAAACATAAAATATATGAAATTTGACAAGTTAAAGTTAGTTATTTGCACATATCATAATGGTGAAACTCTACACTTTCAGTCCTTTAGTGTATTTGGAGCCTATTCTTAAGAGATACAAAATGTCTCTCTTTACCACTAATGCAGTTGACTTTTTAGATTTAGCACTGTTTTAAGGAAGATCAAGATGATTATTCTTCCATATCTGATATATAGGTTTGCTGTAGTTCTGTGACATTTATTTAAAGCAAACTCCTAACAGAGTCTTGAGTTTCTATTTCTTACCCTGTGTAAAGTGCTTCTGACCTTGGTCAGGCATATCCTTCCATCATAGTTATTTATATAGAGTGAGAAACGGTCTCAATTCTCCATTGTGCGTTGAAAATATCATGAAGTATCTTCTATAAAACAAAGGTCAAATGCTGTTCTTTAGATGATATTTCCTTGACCCATTAACTAAATCTCATTCTTAAAATAGAATTATTCATTGGAATGTTAATCAGAGAATACTTTATTAATGTATTGTTATTTCAGTTAATTAGACTGGATTTTGCATGTTTGGGCTTTTTTCTTTCATGGATCTTTTTAATGCCATATGATTTTTGTATTTCCTATTCTTCTTAGTCTGTAAAATTCCTCTTAAAATTATACTTAAGGCAAATATAAGAATACAGGAGCATCAAGTATATATTCACACTGAGACACAGGGCAAGCTAGGGTTATTAGGCAGTTTTAGGGACAGTGCAGGAGGGGACCTCTGAAGAATTAAGGGAGGTTTCAGAGATAAGGACAACCAAGGGAATGTAACCAATTCCACTGGGAAAAACAAACATCCCAGGACCATTGTTAACAAAATGGAAAAAACAAACATTCCAGGACCACGGACAATATCCAGGATGGTCCTGGTTTTCTTCAGGTGATAAAGATAAAGTGTGGAGATGCTCTCCCAGAAGACTAGGCCATAAAGATAAAGATGTAACAAATGGGGAAAGACAAACCTGTTAGATAAGGAATGTGAAGATCCCCCACTCGGTAGCAAATTAAGTGAGACAGCTGAAAACTGACCAATCACAGAGACTGGTGGAGATTTAGAATAATCAGGGAAAGAAAGTATATATTCCCTGAGACACGACTCCACTTTGGCTTCCTTGCCCCTCCCAGGCCTGGTTTCCTGGCCTGGGAGTCCCACTTTATTTCTGCTCTTTTTCTCCTCAATAAACTTTTTCTTCTAAACAAACCTGCCTCTTCTCGCTTGCTTGCCTGAGCGTCTGCGAAGTTCCTGCTGCGGCTTCGTGAGACACCAACCCATGGGGGTCTAGTGGCTGGGGCTCAGCGCTGCCCTGCAGCCTGGGATCTGTTCCTGGCTGGGAGACTAGGCCTGACAATTCCGGTATCAATACTTTTTTTGCTTTCTTTTCTGATTCTAATATCCAAGTGCAAAAGTATATGGTCATGTTTTAAGATTTTTGTTATTATGACAAAAAGTTCAAACTAATGTGAATACAAATTTGAGGGAAAAGGAAATTTCATACTTCTCTAGTCAAAATGAAGAACTTTAGAAGGGGGGCCCTCTAATCTATACTTTGTCTCATTGTAATTTAGTGTCACTTTTGGTATGAAGATGCAAGTGCCACAGTTATAAGAGTTGGAAAATATTCCACAGAGTGCAAGACAAAGGAAGCTGTGGAAATTCTCCACCAGCAGTTCAATAAGTTCATCAGGCCTTCAGTGCCTCAGCAAGAAAAAAGGCTTCTGGAGATCAGCGACCTCGCTCAGTGCTTATATGGTAAGGTCTCTTTTAAAGCACCCAGTGATCTGCCACTGAACTAAACTGCAGTCAGCCTAATCCAGCAGAAAGCCAGAGTGTGGCTAGCCTCAGGGTCCTTACCACACCAACCTATTCAGCTAAAGACTCCCGATAAAAGGCCCACAACTTGCAAAAGTAAACAATAGGGAATAGAGGAAGGAACTTCTTAAGGCAGATGTAGCCAGCTGATTTTCAACTACCTTATGTAAACCTTCTTTCTCTGTTCTCTTTTCTCCCTCCCCCATTGTTCCTCTCCAGGGTGATAAAACTAGAACAATACTCAGTTTATGTGGACAGAAAACATTTAATTCCATTAGAGTGATTCCTTGAAAATCATACAAAACTGCAGTAATATCTTATCTGGTATGAAGTTAAGACAGCACCTTGTTATTTATATAAGAGGTATAGTTCTTGGATATAAGAACTGGGAAATTTCCCCTTGTCTTTCTGGCACTTGTGCAATGAGCCAGAGAACACAAATGATTCTCTCATGAGTTTCCAAGGAAAAGGATGAACACATAAAGAATAATAAAATAAAGATTGGAAAAATTAATGAAAACGAATGGGATGTCTCATTCATACTATAGTTTCTGGTGAAGTGCACTAAAAACTTTTGGCGGCATTCTGCTCCCACAGCACTGTGTGTTTCCCTCTATTGTATTTTCACACTATAGCATAATGGCCAGTGCATTTGTCTGCCTTCTCTGCTGACAATAAGCTCCTTGACAGAAAGGGGAATATATTTTATTACTGTATTTCACTGCCTATTCAATTTAGGACATGGGAAGTTCTCACAAAGACCCCGTAAAAGTTACCTTGCCCTTCAGTCAAGCACAATTCCTTATCCTGCCTGGTTTCCATGTAACACTTATCACAAACTGACACATTATCTAGTTATTTGTCTAGTGGTTCTTAGAGTACAGCAAGGAGAAAAGAGATTTTTGCCTGTTATTTCACTGCATAATGGTAAATAGTAAGTGATTAACAAACATTTGATGAATAAATGAATCACTGAATGAATTGGGTGAATGAACAAATGATATTTATTCACCTTATCAATATGGAAGCATTGAACATGCATTTTTAAACATTTGTGTCAAGTAAGATACTTGAGGAATATTTTATCAACTCTTGCAGGCCACCCAAGCATTTTTACACAGAACCTTATTTTTTTCCCCTTCAAATTTTACTTATTTGCTAAACATTTACCTAATTATATACTTTGGTGAGTACAACTTCACATCTCTATATGTGCACATGCCTCATTCACCCTCATCCTCAGCTCCAGTGTCAGTTTCTTGTCACCTTCCCTCCTCTATAAACCCAGAATTTTAATGCAAACAAATATTGCAAAAAATTTTTTTGAGTATCTGTTATATACTAGGAGCAGTAGTTCATATATAGACAAACAAAATCTGGTTCCTTCATTCAAAAACCCACAAGCCTCCCTGGTGGCACAAGGGGTTAAGATGCAACATATGAAGCTATTTGCAAACTCTGCAGCACAAGTTCGATTCCCGGCCTGCCAGGAAGCAACACACATGGCGCAGCAGACCTCTCCTGACTTGCCCGCTGCTCCCCTCAGCAGTGTGTTTCAGTCAGTCTGCCTGTTCGGTTCCCCACTCTGTCCTTGGGGAATCCTCTCACCCCCTGTACCTCTGGCCTGTATCTCAGCTCTTAAAAAAAAAAAAATTAAAAAATAAAAATAAACCCACCATCTAGGCCTAGTAGTTATGATATGGTAAGTGCAGTGAGAAAAGTATAAAATGTATGTATGAGTTTCCAAAGGCTGCCACATGAAATACTGGGTGACTTAAGCAGAAATTAATTTTCTCAGTTCTGGTACCTGGGATGCCCTATCAAGGTGAAATCATATTGGCTTGGGCCCCCGAATAGCCTCTTTTTTTTTTTTTTTTTTTGTAACTTATTCATCTCTTTAAAGATCTTGTTTCCAAACCCAGCATCATTCTCAGACACTCAGATATCATTCTCAACCTAGAAATCTGCTCAGGAGACATAATTAGCTCATGATTATGTGCAGCAAAATTTAGTTTATCTGTGCAGTCCTGATAGTCCTGCGTTTAAATCATTTCTCCTTCAATTGTTTTCTTGGTCATCTGTGGCTCTTTTAAGTCTCAGTTTTCTCATTTATAAAATACATTAGAACCCACCCAACGATAATACATGTAAAGTACTTAGCCATATATGGTGACTATTTTTATTATTATTCCAATAGGAAAATATCAAATCTACTTAGGAAACATTAAGAACCATTTCACAAAGGTCTTGGCATTTGAGGTAGACCTTGAAGAATAGGTAGGGTTTTGATAGCAGATACAGGGAGTGAGGGTCTGGAGGACATTCCCTGGGTGAATAGGAATGTTCAGTGATTGTGGGGATTTTGAGGGAAGAGTTACTGGTTTAGATTGGTCAGGGATTAAATTAGAGAGAATTAGGGTAGCATATGTTGTTGTTTTTAATTGCGCTAGATTGGCTTACAATACTGTATATGGTTTAGAGTACAGGCACCCATGCCCCCCATGACCACCCATGCCCACCAAAAAGGACCAATAGCCTTCCACCATCCATCCACTGCACCACCTCTAACATTTGCTCACACCCCATCAACACCACTGGTGCCCTCAGTTCTGCAGTCTGAATCCAAGGGTTTGTTTTGGTTTGGTTTTGTCTATTTCATTGCTTTATTTCTTATAATCCTCATGCGAGCAAAATTATCCAGTAGTTGTCTCTCTCCTTCCACTTAGCATAACCTCTGCAAGTTGCCAAAAATAGCAAGAATCCTTTTTTGTAGCAGAGTAGTATTCCATTGTGAATGTATGCCACATTTTCACCCTACCATTCTTTGCTGGATATTTACGTTGTTTTCCTGTTTTTACTGTTGTAAATAGCACTGTAAAATTTTCTGTGGTTTCAGTTCTTTCATTCAAGTCTTTAATCCATTTTAAGACAGTTTTTGTGTGTGGTATGAGATAATGCTCTACTTTAATTTACTTTTAATTACTTTTCTAGGTCATAAAGAATCACTATATGTTCTGAACAGGAAAAAATCAATTAAAATGGAGCTTTAAGAATATTAATATAGTGACATTATTTAGGCTATATGAAAGTAATATATTACAGCATATGTAACCATTTTTCTAAACTACCCAATTTTGTTTAAAATGCTTTTATTCATTTATTATATCTGTTCAGAAAGTATGCATTAAGCACTTACTATCTTCCCAGTCTTTATATCAGACACTAGGGGAGGAATGAATGCCTGACATTTTTTTCCCCCTGCTAAATATTTGACCTTTAAAAATAATTTTATCCCTCTCAGGTTTGGAAGAAGGACAGAAATACACAGAGAAAATTGTGGCAAAACACGAAGAGGTTCTTGAATCTGTTACTGAATTATGTGGATCTCTCACAGAACTTGAGGAAAAGTTGAAGGTAATTTATCCTTTCTAGAATCTGTATTTTCAAATGATACAAATAAAAATGTCTTGATCAGATGTCTTCTGGTACAAAGATGTTCTAATGGAAATTCTCAAGAGACATAATGTGCACATTTGTTTCACAGCTTTCTAACATAATTATCTGGGTGTTTCTGATAATTAATTCTGTTTCTTTGTCATCACTACAGAGAAAAATATTGCTAAGAATGAGGACTAAACACTATTAAGGTGTCTCATTTACATTTTCATGGATCATATCCTAAAGGATAAATATATGCCATTAAAAAAATAAATTCTGTATTAAGTAGCCTTATGTTTTAATTTATAAATAATGAACAAAAAGATATTCCCTCCAAATTTTGGGCCCAGAAAAATAAGTCTATTTTTATATGCTTTGAATAATTTGCTTTATGGAGATATTAACCTAATCATTAGCGTCTTTCATGGAATAAAAAACTGATGGTAAAACATAAAGAAAATATGTTTATGTCTACATTTAGGCAAAGCCCAGTTGAAAGAGTGAAATATAGATACTGTTTTGTCTATAACATGATTAAAAACTTGTTTCTTTGGTGCTGCTTTTTATAACTGGCTGAAATACTGGTGTTTTAGGATAAAATGACAGATGCTAGAATAAAACATATCTCCCTAGGAATACCAACTTGTATTTGGAGTGAATTACTTAATCTAACCGAGTTTCAGTTTCCTAATCTATTTTATAGATATGGAGGATATATGGTGAGCCTAATTAGAAGGTGACCCTGAGGATCGAATGTGAAAACTTCCATGATTTATTTCATGATCATTGTTCCTGAGACATAATGTTACTTGCAGTTCAGGACAGAATTACATTTATTTCTAGCAACCATTTTTTTCTGTATGAATTATCTTGTCTTAAATTTGAAGGCTTATTTCATTCATAATAGGCTTTATTTTTAACCTGTTAATACATTGGTGTCCAACCAAATTATCTTATTCTTTTACTTAAGAATCTAAATTTTTTCAACCTTTTTTATTATTTTAATCATATCATTTTTACTTTCTCTTCTATTATTGCCTATACATAAATTCTCCAAAGCAGATTTAGGTAAATAGATGTGAAAGCATTACTATTTCTAATGTTTTATAATTGCAATGTCTCTATAATGTATGAATTGTGACATACATCTAATATTTTTCAACATTTATCATTTCCCCCATCTCCACCTAACCTCCTTCCTATCTGAGAATCAGTGCTTCCTCTGACTTTATTGGCTGCCAACAATGTCCCTCCCATTCATGTTTTATACCTTTTTTAAAAAAGATTTATTTATTCATTTACACAAGAACCGGAGTATAGGCCAGATGCGCGGGAGGGTGAGAGGATTCACCAGAGACAGAGCGGGGAACAGAACAGGCAAACTAAGGAAATACACTGCTGAGGGGGAGCAGCGGGCGAGACAGGAGAGGTCTGCCGTGCCATGTGGGACCCTCTCCCACCCGCCGGGATCTAACCAGCGCTGCAGAGGTTGCAGATAGCTTCACAGTGCTGCACTCAACCGCCTGTGCCACCAGGGGAGGCCCTATGTTTTATACCTTAATGAGAACCATTTAGTCCAATCTACTCTTAAAGTTATATCCCTTTCCAACTTCATGACTACTCTTCCTGAGAGCTATTTCCACTCCCTATCCTTGCTTTTTTGTTTCCCATTATTTATACACCCCCTGTAGTCAAGATTGTGCCCTTTCTTTCCCATTCCCAACTCATCATTTGGATTTCTCTTTTGTAGTGGTTAGGAGCTTCAGAAGGGTCCAGCCAGGCTATCCTTCTTAAGTACAGTTCTTCTAGTGTCATTTACAATTCCAAAACCCTTCACTATAAACTCATCACTGCTTACAAATTAAAGTTCAGACCCAATGCCTTCCAATGTTCTGAGGCTGATCACCTTTTACAAACCATTGTATTTCTACATTCTTCATCGGTTCCTCTCACTGGTCTACTTACTCACATTCCCAGATTCCATGCTTCTAAACCTTTACTTCAAGTAAACGACTTGCTGTCTGTGCCTATCTAAATTCTACCATCTCTTAAAGTCAAATCCAAATATTCCTTCTTCTACAGCAACTTCCTTAGCTGTTCATTCCTTTTCTGAGCTCCCATAGTAAGGTGTGTTGTGCCCCATCATAATCAGCACATATAACCACCACTGCCATCCTTATACTCCACTTGATTATGCGTGAAGAAACCCTATGGCTCTGTTGAGTTTAGCATTCCACACCATATTTAATGCTATGCTTTGCCTAAAACAGGTTGTCCAAAAAAAGTAGTGACATTTGTAGTAAATACTCAAAGGATTGGAGCAGAGAAATTATTCAATAGCTCAAAAAGGTTTGATTTGTGTGGATATTGAAATGAGAAAGGACTCCTCTGGCAAGAGAAACAGATATCATCAGCACTGCCCTCCCTTGTGAGTTACAGCCTGAATAAAGACTTGTCAAAGAATGCTTATAAACACTTTACGGATATTTGTATGAGAAGCATAAATGTCTCGATTTTTGTTTTTGAGGTTGGTGCTATGGTTCTCTTTTGTAGAAGTTATTAAAAAGTAAGTCCAGGAATCCCTGTTGAGGCTGAAATAGTGATAAAAACCCTTTCTATTTGGACAGCAATTTGAGATTTACAAAAGATTTTCATATATATTACCTCAGTGATTTTTAAATAACCTGTACTTGAGATAGGCAAATGTTATTTTCTTTTTTTTAGAGGTGAAGTTCAAAGAAGGTAAAAGCGCTTTTTTGGAGTCCCACAGTTAATAATTGGTCAGTCTAGAATTTGAACTTCTATATAATTCAAAACCTGCCATTCTTTCCACAACAGCTGCCTTTTGGTATTAGGCTGCAAGTGTGTTTGAAAGCAGAGGGACTTGCCCAGTAAAACATACCAGCTAAAGTTTTAGAGTTGAAACAAAAATCTGAATTTCCCCAGAAATGTGTCTCCCCAAATCCCAAGTCAGAGTAGCAGGTACACAGTTGTGTTTGGGGAACACTTTTTCTTGAAGGCCCCTCTAATTACCATGTTCCAGGTGGAACAGGATTTTGCTGCAGTGTAATCAGCATCCTAACCTGGTGTTCTCTTCCTCTGTGTGCCTGTGGCTATTTTACCTTCAAATGCCATCTCTGTCCTCACAATGGCTCCACAGCAATTTGCAAACTCCTTGTACCCTCATGACTAAAAGAGTCTCATGAAATGCAAGAGAAAAATATCATCACCCACATGAAACACCCTTTATTTTCAATTGTTTTCTTTTTTTTATCCATGTCAGAAAAGTAATGTGCCAACATTGTAACAAGGTTTAAGGGAGGTACACCTCACACAATGGCGAGAACACCCAATCATTATGCTTTTGAACAAGAAACGGATGCTATTTTCAATTGTTTTCTTTACCATAGTCAATGATACTTTCTTCCTGTTTTCATGAGATTCCCAAATATTGTTTGTAAAAATGATCTAGATTTTATACTTATTCTCCACCAGAGATATTTAGTCACTTCTGCCTCCCAGCTGCTCCACCAGGCCCTCCTCCTAAAGGCTTAAATGCCACGCACAATGATTCCTTTCTTTAGAGAAGGCTCCTTTTGCATTCTACTGTGACAATGACTTTTTTCCTGCTTAGCCTTTGAAAACAAATTTTTTACTGGCAATGAAATCTATTGAAAATAGAGTTTGAAAGGAGAATGTGAGTTTGGAGGGTAATTTTATAGATCACATCATGGGAGCACCTCAGTCTCTTCTGGAATGCCTTTACGGAAAAGTTGCAAGTGGCCTTTATTTTCTTCCAAGTTGTTGTACGGCACTGTTCCTCCAACTTTCCTAGCCCAGCTCCTACTACCCATCTCTTTGTATAGCAGAGAGATGTTTTAAAGGTGAATCTGAGTTTAGAAGACCTCTACAATGATTGCATTGACCTACTAAAAGAACCAGCAAGAAAAGAGCAGACAGGAGTCAATAACAAAATGGATAAGGTAAAGAAAACTCTACTACAACCCCACTCATTACTTTTAGTTTGAGGTTAGTGTCTTTCTGCATTGCAAAAATAGATAGATAGATAGATAGATAGATAGATAGATAGATAGATAGATAGATAGATAGATAGATAGACAAATAGATAGGAAAAGTGAATTGAAGCCTTCTTAAGGATCTGAATCAAACCTCCCAATGCAATGTGAGTCACCATACCCCTTATTTCCATTCTACCCCCTTACCTAGTCCTTCTGTAACCCACAATGGTTTGGGGACTGTCATTCCAACATCATAGTGTTACCCCAAACCAGTTCTGTACCTCCCATTTTCAGCTGCCTTTCCTATTGTCTTTTTATATTCAATTCCAACTTCAAATTATAATTCTCTGTTTTTATCATCCCTGCAAGCTATAGTGGTATTGTTTTATATTACACTTTGGAAAATCTCTTTTTTAAAAGAATTATTTGTTTATGCTTACAAGAACTGGGGTACAGGCCAGAGATGTGGTGGAAACTCTTTATACATGAAATTAGATTGTGTCTTGTTTCCATAGAATCTACCTTTAAGATGATATTTCCAGGCACATGTAATAAAACATAGAATCTAGCTGAAATACAAACAGTAAAGTATTTAGAGACATGTTTAAATTACTTTAAGGATTTTGAAGATTAAATATTATGCCCTGCAAAAGCCTATGCATTAGAGATAAATTAAGCATGTAGCTAAAACTGCAAATACTCATAAAATGCAAATGCATCAGAACTTCAAAAGTATTATTTAAATCATATCATTATGGATTTTCACCATAAGTTGCTCACTCTCTATTCATAGCTCCTGGACTATAATTAGCCCTTTTGACTTTTTACTTTGCCAAGCTGCCTGCTTTCAGTGTTTCTCTCCCAAGAAACTGAAGGAAGAAGCAGAGTCAACATTATTCTCAACTGCTTCCAAACTAATAAAATATATTTCTTATGACATGAAAGCTTAAGAAAAAAAATCTCCATTTGTTGCAGTTGTCTCATGGAGAAATATTTATCTTGCCTTGAAGTCAATACAGTTCTTGGAGTTTCTTCTACAGTTCTTCAGTTCTTGGAGGTCCTTTTCCACAAGTTAAATCTATATCAAGTCTAGTTCAATTGTAGAATCACCAGGCAGCAAGGACTTAAGTTTCCTGCCTTTTTTGTGGGATAGCCTTGAGGCACTTAAACCCTGTTTCCTCTCTAAGGCAAAGGAAATCTCCCAAACCTTGGTCATCTTGCTGGACTTTAGTGTTGTTCTTTTTTAGATTCTGATTGGTTTAAATTACATTTTCTTACCCTCAACACTATCAACACGTTGGCCCAGAGAATTCCCTGCTGTGGGTGCTGCCCCCAGCATTGCAGCATTTTGCAACATTCCTGGCCTCTCTCCCCTAAATGCCATTAGTGTGGTACTTCTCCACCACAACCAAAAAATATCTACCAAAATTACCAAATGTCCCTAGGGTGCAAAATCACCCTTGATTGATACTGACTGGGAAAAATAGTGAAGAACAACATGAAATGCATGCCATTTCTTATCTAAATTTCTAAGAAATGCTAAATCCAACATATTATTTTTTTAATTCTGCACATTTCCTCCATTGTCAACCACTTCCATGTGCTTAGATTTGAAAGTCATTGCTATCAAAGCAAACACTGATTGATACTTAATTTTTTCTTCTATTTATTTTTCTTACAAGAAAAATTAAAGCAACAGATCATTTTTTTAAAAATTGAATTTTTAATTACATTGAGAGATCACTTTTATTTTAACATAAATTAAAAGAGATGATAAATCATTGGTCACTTAGTACAAGTGAAGATCCAAAATATAGCTGTCCCTTCACATAAACATTCTGGTGCAGTTGGTACAGAGAGAAAAATGAAAGGGTGGTAGTAATCTTCACTTTTTTAAATAGTTCGATCACATTTATTCTCTTATTGTTTCTATTATTCATATTATAGGTCAGATGTAATGATTCCCCAAAACACCAAGCGAGTAGGTAATAAGAAGCACCAAGTTAAATGCTTGTCTTGGGATCACTAGTTCCATGTTTCTCTTTCTCAGAAAAATTATTCAAATCAGAAAGAACAATTCCACCAAACTATTACATGAATATATTAATCACAGGATTTTCTCTTGGACATAAAGTACTTTTCATTTTTCTGACCCCAGAAATGAAGCAGGGAGATTAGTTGATTCAGTCTATGCACCACCATTTTTGTAAATTTTTTTGCTTATTTAATATTTGTGTGTGTCTATATATACATATATATATGTATGTATTTTACGTCATTGTAATGTAAGAATAAAGAGGAAGAGCTTGGAGAAAATAAAGACAATCATTAAAAATGGTTTTCTCTAAATCAGGAACCTGAAGCTGTCAAATTCATAGAGACAAAAAGTAAAATTGGTGTTTACCAGAGGCTAGGAGGGAGGGGACACTTGGGAGTTGTGCTTACTGGGGGGGGGGGGGGAGTTTGGGAAGAAGAAAAGGTTTTGGAGGCAGGTGGCAGGGACACATCACAGCAACGCCTGTATGCTTAATGCCACTGAACTACACACATTATATGATTAAAATAGTTTTACAGAATGTACATTTTACCACAATAAAAATAAATAATGGTTTTCCTGGGACAGAAAAGGGGTTATTCCAGGAGGGATCTAGGGATATTGGGAGTCTCCGATGTTTAAGAACTATGTGTTGGCATGCTGTATAGATAAATAAATAAGTCATAAGGAAGCTTCTCACTTGAAAGACACTGGCCCAGCATAACCCTCCATTACAGATGAAAACCAGTGCTAGCTTTCTTCTGTTTCACAAGCTCTATCACATTTCACTCAGAGACTGGAGATCACTTTACTGACTGCTGAGTTCTGAACAGGACTGTGCCAGGTTAGATGGAGAAATGGGTTCAAATTGTGTAATGTTTGTGCCAGGGCCCCAAGTTTCAACTCATGGTAAAAAATTTCAAATTGTCTCTTTGAACTTGCACTGCACTTTCATTAAGACCTAGGCAAAGAAGACTCAATGGCTAACTTGAAGCTTTGGCTTTTGGTTTTGAAGGAGCAGGAGCAGCAAATGGCTGACATTTTGGCCATCCGTGGAAGAGAAGAGGGTCAGCCTCCCCAGGACCTGAAGCCACTGTCCTCTGCCGAGGAGGGTGGTATCCAGGCTCTGCTCCTGCCTGCTGACGTGCCCTCAGGAGGAGAAGATGAGTGTGCCTCACCTGATGACATCTCCTTGCCTCCACTCCCGGAAAGCCCAGAATCCCCTGTCCTACCATCGGACACGGAGGCAGAGGAAAGTCCCAGCTCCTCCCTCAGCCTACAGATAAGCAGCTCCAGGATGCTGAAGGGGGCCCAAGGGACAGGGGAGATCCAAGAACCTATGCTGCCGCCTCCACCTGCTGCTTTTGCTGATGCTTGCAATGATAAGAGAGAAACATTTTCAAGTCATTTTGAGAGGCCCTACACCCAGTTCAAAGCCGAACTCCCATTAACAGCCCAAGGATTTCTGGAAAAGAGTACTGTCTTCCACAAAATCAGTGCTAAACCTCCAGAGAGCATGCTGAGTGAAGTGCATGAGAGAGCTTTACAGCAGCGCCCTCAGACTCAGGGAAGTTTGCTAGAAACACGGGAGGAGATGCATGTTTATAATAATGCCACTAAAACCCGAGATAGCCTGCATGCTTCCCCTGATGCATCCTCCAGCCTCCAGTCTCAATCAGACACCAGCTGGTGCTATCAGAGGCAAGTGGTTCCCCGAGAAGTGATTAAAAGTACATCAGCAAAGAACAGCATGGTCACCCTAGCGGACCAGGCACCTAATTTCTCCAGGCTCCTGTCTAATGTAACTGTTGTGGAAGGTTCTCCAGTGACTTTGGAAGTTGAAGTAACAGGATATCCAGAGCCTACACTGACATGGTGGGTAGCCTATAATGACAAGCCATAAACAGAAACAAATCCAATCACTAAGCAATGATTTAGTGTGCACTAACTTGAAGGTTTAGGGACAGCTGATTAATATTCTACAACACTGCAACTCTGCATGATTCAGCCTCACATCAACCCCCAGCTCTCATTCAGCAGCAGCATGCCTAATACCCCTAAAAGAAAAAAAAGAAGGAACCATAGGAAATAGTAATTTAACAAACTCTGAAAGTACTACAGGACAGCTGTGCTTTTTTTTTTTTTTTTTTTTTTTTTTTGCTTTTAGATCAGTTTAACATTCCACATTTCTAAAGATTGTGGTCTGAAGTTATTTCCCCTTGTTTATTTCTATGGAAGCATGAAGTTTTCTTAGTTTAACAACACTTCTTCAATCAAAAAAAAAACAAAAGAATTTGGGTTTTTCCCTTTGCTTCCTTTTACCCACTTGACCTCTCCCTCTTCCCAACAGTCACACATGCCACTTTGGTAAGGATTGTTTGTTTCACTGAGTTTTCTTTTTATAAATGTTTTCAATGTGAGAGATAGATAACAATATTTCCCTCACAGTGGTTTCCAGTAATAAACCCATCTTTGAATAAATAAATAAATATATAATAAAAAAATTTAAATAAAATAAATAAATAAATAATAAAAAAAAAACATCTTTGAAAGGTAGTATAAAAAACTGAACTGTGAACAATATGATTTGCCTTTGGGGGCACCATTATTTTTTTTTAGCCTATTTGTTTTAATAAAAGTAAACAGAATAAGGGTTTTGAATCACCTACTGTTGTTCTAAAAGCAGCTCTGACTTTCTCAGTTCATGGGTTATTTTAAACATTTATAAACTAAGATAAACAGAGTAGCACTTGTTTATCCTAATCTTTCAGTCAGCACTGAGTGAACTGTTATCATGTGTACCCCTTGTCGGTACTCGAAGTGTGACTCGCTTATCTAATGAACTTATGAGAAAACCCTGGTTTCTCAGATTACTAAAAGTAACTGTATTCGTGCAATGGTGTGGCCATTTATGCTTTTTGTTTTCTTTTGTTTTTGTAGTTGCATGTTTTTGATAGATCAGGAATTTTGCATTTTTGAATTTAAAAGATATTTAATTCATCATTAAATATCAGTTCACCTCAAAGAAAAATGTTGTCTGAAGTGTTTCTTGGTTTTGTCCCCACAAAAAAAATGCCTTGGTTAGTATATATCCTTGAAGGACTGTTGTAATTATTGTGAAAGATAACAGTTTACCCTCAGATTTACAGTTTACCCTCAGACTTCACATAATTAACAACTGGCAAGCTGTCAGGGGATCACTCATTCTTAGGACACTCAGGAAAAGGTTATCACTTAGGCAATTGGAACAGAAGATGATTCAGGTTTATCCTCACTTCTTATGTAGAAGAACCTGGGTATGAATGAATACACATGAATCTAGACTATACAAAATAAACAAATGATTTGCTTTATAAAAAGATGCAACTGAGTAACCAGGTTCGTAGGAAAATAAGAAACAAGTCATTAACAGTAATAACCTCAATTGCATAAATGCCTTTTATAATTAGAAATCATTTTCTTTTAATGAAATAAATTGATAGACATTAAATGAACTCATTTAGCCAGGTAATGCTGTACAAGTACCTTGCCTAAAGCAGCACGTTGGTAGCTCATGTGGTTCACAGGGCATGAATATGGTGAATGAAGCAGATGAGTCTCCTTCCAATATGGATTCCAGGAAGTCACAAGCTGCTGTTTCACAGCACCTGAAAGAATGGAGTAGGCCAAACAGAAGAGTGCCATCTCACTTACAAGGTGCTCGTTACCACGAGCAAATGGTGGCCAAGTGGGACCAGATGGTCTGGCTTGAATAGTTGGCTATCTGAATTTTCATATTCAATATGCCAATGGTAAATGTTGTCCAAAAATTCAAATTTTAAAAAGCACATTCTAGCTGTCCTAACTGGCCAAGTATTTCTTTGGCCATCAGTTAGCAACCTCTGTTTGAATAAGCAGCTTCTTTGGAATTTGTGGTAACTACATAGCTCCTGCTAATTCTAGAGTATGTTGTGGTGGTGGTGGGCCCATTTGCAATGGTTATTAGACCTTAGAAATAATGTGAATAAAGAGTGATCCTGACTTTAAAAACTGACTCTCTGCTTCAGGTACAAGAAGGGCCAGAAATTGTCTGCAGATGGGCACTTACAGGTTTTGCACAAGGAGACAAGACATTCAGTGTTCATTCCGAAGGTATGCAAGGCAGACGCAGGCCTCTATGTGGTTCGTGCCCAAAATTCTAGTGGCATTCTCTCTTCCAATGTCATCCTCCACGTGACAGGTAACCACAGGCCGCCTATCACAAGAATAAACTGGATAATGATGTGTGTCATCTATGTTAGTGTCTCCCTACTCTACTGGCTGCTCACATGGTAACTCTGGGAAGGAACCCATGAATGTTATTCTCATGAGCCTAAAGGACACTATGATGTTTCTTTTCCTGCATTTTCTACAAAGCATCCCCCACCAAATATATTCCATTCTGGTCCTATTGCTTGTGTGGCTAACATCTCTGCTCAGTGAAATAACTTCAACTTTTCTTTAGTGGTTTAATGTGTTTGAGAAGCTTGTTAAATGATTAGCAATGGATCAGGATACTGTTTTGTATTTTAGAAAAAAATGTGTTCAATAGAAAACAAAGTAAAACTTTACTATGTATATTCCATCTTAATTTAAGCACATGCAGATCAAGGTTCACATCAGTATATAGCTGTGGTAAGTTTCAAATCCAACTATTGGGTAATTTATTTTTTACTGTACTCATGAATATATTTCTTTGTAGAATAATTGTAGAATGTTGAACTGAAGTTTTAATTTTTATTATTGCTTAACTATCCCTTAACATTGTCTTTTCATACTTTGATCTCATTTATTGAAATGCATTCATTCTATGGAGTTTCCAAATAGCCTATATTCCTGAGCCTAAGGATGCAACTTTAATCATTCCTCTGTTGATTTCATGGATTTGACTTAGGAGAACAGATGTGCCTTTAACTGTAAATGAAGTTTGAAGCTTCCATCAAGCTCTGTATGGCATATTGCAAGATAGTCATGGACTACTGAATGAACCAACTTTAGACCTGTCATTCTATTGATGTATTTGGGGCACCCATATATATACAAATGCAACCAGATCTCTTTGCACCTAATCTTGATTTTGCTGATGATGATCTTTTTGCATTTGATGGTAAGGCATCTCAGTGCCTCAGTTTCCTGTTTAGAAAATGGGTTCATTATCTACCTCTTGGATAATTAAGAGTTTTTGCTTCACTTCTTGTAAAGATCTCGAAAATGGAAAGCACTCTAGGAATACTAAATGTAATTATATTATTTAATGCAACTGGTCATTGCACTTCCTCCTGCCCACTATTTCTCCTGCAGGTGCTGCTGCTTTAGCATATTAAATTAAAAGAGTAGGATTATTATGTGGTTTCCCACTATTCCCACGTGTTAAAATGGCAGTTTATGAATTGAAATTTAAATTCCTTGCTAATTTCTTTAAACTACATCCTTACTTGAAACTAAACCCAGAAGGATATATTTAGTATTTAAAAGGAGGGGTATAGTAAGATGAATTCTAGTCTTATAAGTTTGATGTAATATTGAAGAATGTTCTATGTCTTTCTGAAATATATTACTCAGAAAAGAGGGTATTTGTTTGGTTCATTTAAAAAATAAATATGAATAAGAGAGGCATTTATTTTTTAGATTTTTAAACATAGTCTTGTACAACTAAACAAAATATTTGGTTGAAATAATCTCAATTTTTGATAAAGGTAAAGAATGAACTATGCTGTTGTTAAGTCCATCTACAACTAAAAGTATTTAATGTGGTATATTCAAATTGATATTAAAAAGTGCTAAATCTCATCTGAATATGTGAATATCTGGTTGACTGAAAAGTTGGCATATTTTTTTCTTGTGCTGCATATTCAATTTAATTTAAAAATTAAATTTCCTAATTTTCTTGGTTTGTCACCTTGGTTGAATTGTAGTTTGAGGTGGCTAGGGCATGGATATTGCTGGTTTTCTTTACTTGTTGCATAGCAGTTCATTTTAATTTGGGGGGCAGAAGGGTGGGACATACATATTGCATGATATATCACCAAAATAAAATATATGAAGATAGAGGTAAAATATATGTGCAAACACATATATACAGCACATATAGAGAGAAAAGGCATCCTGATTTCAAGATATGGTTCAGATTGCTGTCTCTTCTCTCTCCCTCTCCCTTCCTCTCCCTCCCTCTCCCTCTGCCCCCTTCCACCCTTGCATACCTGCCTACCAACCTATCTGCTTACCTATCTTCCTACCTACTTACCTACCTCTTCTTTTGAGCTACTGTTTGACCAGCAGTGAATAATTAGTTATTTGGTTATTCTTCTGATTTTAATGTATTTTCAAAGACTTAAGAGTGATTTTTCTTTATTTTAGGACTTCTGTCTTGATCAATGAATTCTCCTTATGAAAGTTGAACCAAAATAATTTATTAATAAGGAAAACGTAAGAAATTCAGATGATGTTTGTATTTTAAGATATACATGATTTATAACCATTTCCTTCTAGAGAAAACTTTAGTAATATTGAAATACTTTTCAATAGAATAGGAAAATAAAGATTGATAAGAATGTAGACTTGACCCCTTGAAGGAATGCAACACAAATATGTTTTGAACTTCTAATTAGGTCACATCATTGGACTTTCAGTTCCCATTTTCTAATAAAAGGATGTATAAATATTTGGTGGTGAAGTTTTTTTTCAGACCCAATTCCAGGAGAAATTTAATGTATGAACCCTTATATTTGAATCTCTGCAGAGTCTATAATATCTAAAATATTAGGGAAAACAATACCTTCTAACTGCTTCACTCAACTTCAAATTTCTGCAAGTAGAACACAAAGCTCTTTAACCTGGTCTCCCCTCTGTCTTCCATCAAAGCAACATTTAGCTTCAGGTTTTTTTGGTTTTTAAAAATATTTTTTACATCATTTTTCATTTTTGTATAATGTATGCATTTTCATCTTGGTTATAGTCCCCGTAAAATTCCTACCACCCTTGTTTTGATCCTCCTTTCTTCTCCACCCCCAGCCCTGTAGTGTGTCTCTGGTTTATAGTTGCCTGTTGATTTTGTTTTTCACTTTAATTATAATTATTCTTTTTCCTGATCCCTTATTTAGGTTTTCTAAATTCCTACTATGTAACTTCAGGTTTTTACCCTATTGTTCTTTCATTTTTTTTAGTCCTTTCTTCCCAAAACTCCTTTACTATTTTCTAGTCTATCTTTGTGTCGCTCGACTCTGGCTTATCCTTCCATATCATTTAAGTCCAATGTAGATGTTCCTGCTCCATGCTCTGTCAACACCCGACTTGACATAGTCACTTCAGTAGGACATAGTGATGGAATTTTCACATATTCAAAAACTCATCTCCCCTAGTTAGGCTGTGAGTCCCTTATCAGGAGGATCTGTGACAGCCCTGTTTATCACTATAATCCCAGCACCTAAGACATAATCACAATCAATAAATTTTTAAAAACTGTGTTTTTTTTTTTTTTAACTTTTTTTTTAATAGAGGCATTTATTTATTTATTTGTTTGTTTGTTTGTTTTGTTTATACATGCACTGGGTACAGTCAGAAGCGCGGGAGGGTGAGAGAATTCACCAGAGCCAGAGCAGGGAGCAGAGCAGGCAGAAGGACTGAAGTACACTGCTGCAGGAGAGGTCTGCGCGCCATGTGGGAGCCAGCAGCGGGGATGAACCGGCGCAGAGGCAGCTTCGCAAGCGTACACTGCGCGACATAGAGGCAGCATGCACTGGGTACAGTCGCAGGAGGGTGAGAGAATCACCAGAGCCAGAGTGCAGGCAGAAGGACGAAGTACACTGCTGAGGGAGCAGCGGGTGCAGGAGAGGTCTGCGCGCCATGTGGGACCCTCCTCCAGTGGCCGGCGAGCAGCCGGGGATCAAACCGGTGCTGCAGAGGCCGCGGGCAGCTTCGCAACCCAGCGCTCAACCGCTGCGCCACCAGGGAGGCCCAATAAATTTTGAAAAACTGTTTTTGAAAATAAGTGGTGATAAATCTAGCTGGCTTTTTGTTTTTTCATTAAGGAGGGCAACAGGGAATGTAAATAGAGAAAGATGTAGCTGTGACCCTATTATCCTTCCTTACCATGGACATTTGCTGATCAGGATCATGTTCTGGCCCTGAAATATACATAAAATACTCTCACCAAATCTACAAAACTTAAGTGGGAACGTCCAGATCCTCTGTTTTAGACCTGGAATGAAAATTTAAACTTAAAAATCAAGGCTATCTCATAGGTCAAAATAGCAGAGAAGAGACCAAATCTGGGATCATTACTCCAACAGTTTAAAGCATATTAAACAAGTATAAATTGCTACCAGATATAAGAGGAGAAATGGGCATTCCCACTCTCAGTGACTAAACCAAACTACCAAAACCAGGTTTATGTACTTGTTTGAACACTACACATATTATCAATATTTTATTGTAACTGGGGCTCAGTGATATGGCTGTGAACATACCTTACTTGTAAATCACATTTTCACTTATACATGTAAATACAAAAAAAGTCAAGTCCAAGAGCCCAAAGTATTTGAACTCCAAATGAAGGAAGCAAAGAGTATTGAATCTTGTTCCACTTTGTTTTATTTATGGCCATTCCTTACTAGAAATTACCATCTGAAGCTTTTACATGCCTGTTGTAGGTACGGTATTTTAAGTGTGGCCATGAAATAAATTAGTTAAAATAAAATATCTCCCCCTAGTAACCTCTAATATTGCATTTCAATTCAAATGTCAAAGCATGACAGACTATTTTCCATTCATAACAAGCAGAACCTTGAGTTGCATCAGTGAGCCAAAAGATTTGCATTCACTAAATGAAACCATGTTTCACTTTAAAGCAACAATTCATTATCGCTGCTCTCATTATATGAGATAGTTGATTGTGATCAGCTGTGTAGGAACTCAGCCTCTCAAAAAAAAAGGCAAAACTGTTAACTGGCCTTTTCCCATGAATCCAGACAATTCTGTTCCCTGTGTTTATGAGAGTTTACATGATATCATGGACTACTTGAGCATCAGTGATGAAGGTTTGAGGCATGACATGCCTCCAAATAGAAGCCTTTGACTCTGGAATTTGAGTGTCTGGCCAGAAATTTCTTCTATTCGAAGGTAGTTTCTTTTCTATAAGCCATCCACTTTAAGCAGCTAGAGGAAAAAAGAGTTATTTAAGCCTATAGCAAGCAGAATAAAAGAAATTATAAAATTAGAATACAAATTAATGATCTTAAAAGGAGAAAATAAGGAAAATCAAACAAACCAACACCTGTTTCTCTGAAAATGTCACTAAAATTGATACACTTCTAAAGAGGCTAATCAAGACAAAGAGGATAAAATTACCAACATCAGAAATAAAAGAAGGGTGATAATTGCTGATCCTTGGACACTAAAAGTATAACAAGGGAATATAATGAACCACTTTATATCAACAAATGTGATAAACAAGATGAAACTGATCAATTACTTGAAAGACACACACTGCCAAAACTCAAGTAGAATCATACAACCTAAGCCCTAGAAAAATATAGGAAATTGAATTAATAATTAATAACCTTCCATAAAAGGAAACATTAGGCTCAGATGGTTTCACAGGTAAATCGAACAAACATTTATTGAAGAAATAACAATACTTCATAATCTCTTCAAAAAATAGGAGCAGAGAGAAAATTTCCTAACTCATTCTATGATATCTAAATGACCCTAATACTCTAGTAAATATATTAAAAGAAAGGAAAACTACAGACCAATATCTCTCATGAATATAGACACAAAATCCTTAACACAATAGTAATAAGAAAAATCCATCAATGAATAAATAGAATTACACACACAAATGATATTTGTTCAAGTATGCAGGTCTAGCCCAATATCAAAAAATTATATAATGTAATCTATCACATCTATAGTCAAAAGAAGCAAAAACATATGTTTGAATATATGTTCATGATGATAATAGCGTAACTCACAAAACTAGTAACAGCACAAACTTTCTCAACTTGATAAAGATCATCTACAAAAAACCCATAAGTAATATAATTAATGATGAGGGTCTGGACACTTTCCTTCTGACATTGGGAACAAGGTAAGAATTTCCTCTCTCATTGCTCTTATTCAACATTGTGCTGGAAATTCTAACTAGTGAATAAGTGATAAAATTTATGCATTTTGGAAATGGCAATAAAAGTTATGTAATTTGGAAAAGAAGAAATAAAATTATGTGTCTTGCATATAATATGGTCTTTGTAGAAAATCCTATAGTTTCTACCAAGATCAACAAATTCAACCCAGGAGAAAGGCAGGGAAAAGGCAATAAATGAATCACAATGAATCAAGTACCTCTAAAGGATAATTCAAAAGTGGGTGACATGAATTTTTCCCCTTTTTATAACTTGATTACAGGCATTGGAATCTAGTTGCAATCTGATTTATCTTGCAGCTTCTTTTCATATTTTGATGTTTTTGAGAGAGAGAGAGAGTTATATTTTTAAATTTGATTTAGGTAACTCTGGTACAGAATATGTTTTACGAGTACTTGTTCAAAACTCTTCAATAATACTGATAACCACCAGAATACCAATAACATTTTACTGCATTCCATAGGAGCTCCTGCACCCTTTACTATCACTCATACCCCACAGCCTGGTAATGTCAGTTCTATGTTCTGAATCCAAAGGTCTGTTTTGGCTTGATTTTCCTGTTCTTTTGCTTTATTTCTTCATATCCCACATATGAGTGAAATCATCTGGCCTTTGTCTTTCTCCTTCTGACTTATTTCACTTAGCATCATCCCTTCCAGTTCCATCCATGTTGTTGCAAATGCAAAATTTCACTTTTTTTATAGCTGAGCAGTATTTCAATGCGTATGTATACCACATCTTCTTGAGTGTACATACAACTCATCCAAATCCAAATGGATGATTTGTCAGCTGGTATGCCATTGCACTGCAAGAATGAATGCATTTCCCATGAGTATGTACTTTCCTATCTGCAAGGATTGTGAGATTTCTTGGTAGAAAACAGAGTTAACATGTCAACCTTGTATCATGCTTTAAAAAATAATCAGTTTCATAATGTCCTTTAATTAAAAGATTGAATGCAAATGACTTCAGCACCTACATTTAGCTATAAATTTTTTGATGAAATTGTTTTGTGTTGCCTAAATGTTGGCTATATACACTTCATTTCCAAATTCTTGAATATAGATTTTGTTTAAATATGCCACTTATATAACATAGACTAACAATGTTCTTTATTACGTAAAGGAAAACTAGTGGATGCACCACAAAAACCAAATATTAAACTTGTTTTTTTAAATCATAGGCCTTATAAATATAATTATACCAACAGTGGATCAATTTATACCACATCCAGATGTGCAAATCAATGAGCAAGCAAAGTACATGTAATAACTTCTGTTCAAGCCTATGGCAGCATATTATGTGACTGCACTGGTTTTGATTTACTGTGACAGCTGAAAATAGATCATGAGCACCAAGAAGAGTGACACAGGCTTCACAGAACACTCTTGTGCAAGTCATGGTCACAGTCTAAGGAACAGGGGCTGGTTCTCTGGGCACATGAACTCCTTTTTTCTGTGCTGACATTAACCATTGTAGATAAAAATCCAATCAGTGAGGGGGGTAGTGCAAATCTTCCAGAAAACTCAAGAATTAGGGAATTCTTATGGTTTCTTTATTTTTTTATGTTTAATATATTTTATATAATTCTCACATCATTTTTTATTTTTGCACAATGTATGCATTTTCATTTTGATTATATTCCCCATGAAAGTGCACTCCCTTATTTTGACACTAATCTCTCTTCTCCTCCCTCCACCCCCCCTTAGTGTGTCTCTGGTTTATAGTTGCTTGTTGCTTGTTGATTTTTTTCTTTATTATAATTAGTCTTTTTCCTGGTTCCTTATTTGGGTTTTCTAAATTCCTGCTATGAGTGAGACCATCCAGTATTCGTATGGTTTCTTTAAATGGAGAACTTGTTAGTGCAATTACAATTAATTGTAATAGTGAATCAAATGTCAATATTATCATTGCAAATTAATAAAAACCATTTCAAGAGTTTTGG